TGGATCAAATGACCTATCTAAAACAAGTCATGTTGGAGACACTTCGTTTGCACCCTCCAGTTCCGTTACTTGGTCCTCGAGAACTGATCGAAGACTCGACCATCATGGGGTACGAGTTAGAAGCTGGTACCTTGGTTTTCACGAATGCTTGGGCCATCGGCAGGGATCCTCGAAGTTGGGACGAACCGGAGGAATTTCGACCGGAGAGGTTTACGAATGGTTGCTTGGATCGCGGGCAAGATTTCGACGTGATCCCATTTGGTGCTGGAAGGAGGGGATGTCCTGGCAGGGCTTTTGCCCTAGCGATGAACGAGCTCGTGGTGGCGAATCTAGTGGGGAGATTTGATTGGACACTTCCTGATGGAACCAAGACGAAGGATTTGGACATGAAAGAGTGTACCCTTCCCACTATACATAGGAGATATCACCTTCGTGCAATGGCCATTCCAATCTAGTGGTTGCTTAAGTTTCCTGGTTGCGTTAAAATTATATTATACCGATTCTTAGACGCGCGCATTATTTAATATTATTAGGGTTACAACAATTTAGTCCAAACTACACCAAGTATAATCATTTATTATTTTGATCAAATCAAACCGAACTAAATATATTTCATTGTTATTAAGTTTTTTTTTTCTTCCAGTTTCATGGTTTCTCTCAACTAAAAAAGAGGATAGTGAACTTGATTGAAACCTGGCCAATGCATATTCACTATAATTCAATCTAATTTACGCACACAATTGAGTGGCCACTCTGTTAGTTTGATTATGAAAAACTTCAACCAAAAACTTTATCTTCAACCAATATTTCGCCCCGGGCACACAATCTTAAATATTTGACTTACTAGGGTTAATTAAGAAAAAGTATTTTCTGATTCAATTGAGAGATAACATTGTAACTTATTCTTTACAGGTGGTCATGACTCATGAGTATAGTAAGCGGAGAAATTACTTCATATGTTTTGTGCTATAGTTAGAGTCATGTATAGGCACAATAACCTCGGGTAAAAAATGTCTTCAAATGATGGCCGAGTGTTCTATTTATAGCTCTTTGATAAATCTAGTATAGTGCAATGCAAGTAATAAAAGTCTAGATAAATTAGGTTTGTGTTCCACAAGTTCACCTAATGGATAATTACTCACGTCCAACTACTCATGCTCAACACAAAGCAATAAATTAGATTGTATATTGATTTTACAGTAATATAACAAGCAATGTAAAGTAAAGCATAAAAGTACAAATACATAGTTGAATAGGAAATTTACTCGACATAAACGTGTTTCTTAATTCTCATTCATATCATGTATCATTTGTTACACTTCTCTATCCCTTATAATAGAGCATTCTTAAATGATTTTTCCCCACATGTGTGAGGAACACAAATTAGATAATGCATGTTTTCTCTTTGTCTCATCAACTAACTAATAAAGAATAGAGAAGTAAGGATAGAACATAATTAAATGTGGGTTTCTTAAGCCATAACATATGGTCTACAACATCGATAATCAACAATCAAGCATTGATCCTAAACATGCACAGATGGCTGATAAATCATCCCATAAACGTAAAGGGAAATAAGATATCACAAGAACGTAGTTTCATAACATCCTAGATGAAATTATAAATAGTGCATATAATATTACACAATAGAATCATAAGCATTAGTCATAAAAAACGGGTAATTATCATAGTAAAAAACTATTCACTCTGTACAAAATGGTCACAAATCTTTAATTTTGCACGTTTCAGTAACATATGTTTGTATTAATAACAGAAAAATAATTTCTTCCACCTCCATCCAAAAAATCGTTATTTCCATCCAGTCAGCACGCCTTGTCATTTAAGATATTAATAAGAAAATTAATGACCAAACCCAATTAATCTGATAACCCAACCGAAAACCCTAATTCTATATCCACCCACTCGAATTGTTGGAGCCAGAAACACTCAATCACTTTCCTCGTGCAATTTTGTCCTATCTTCTTCTATCGTCCAATCCCCCTCCACGAAGAGACCTGTAGCAGAACAAAATTCTCGGCGGCCTTGCGGTTTTGACGACCTCGCGAACGAAACGCTTCTGGAGAAAACTCGCCCGCGAAGGAATCCCACCAACAATCGATTGCTCATCATCCATAGAACCAACAACCGGAAAATCGTCGGGCTTCAATTGTAGACCCAGAGCGTTGTAGACCTGCAACCGGCTTCGAGTATAAGAAAAAAGAAGACGACAAAGTATTCATACCCAAAATTTATGTTTACAGACGAATGTTGATGGTTTATAAGGGGAATGGATCAGGTCAATAACCTTATGGTGAGTAACCATGAGTAACCCGTCCATATCAGTATGACATAAGCATCCCTCTCTCTGCTGGATAACCTTTAATTTTCTCCTCCTTAATCTTTGATGGACGATTTCTCACTCGTTTTAAGTCGAATTTTTCTTTTTGCGTAGTTAGATCAGATTAATTATGCACTTCAAAATGATATCCACTTTGATATATTTTTCGAACAAAAAAATCGAGTCATTTTATACCAGTCTATATCATTCTATACCATATGGTATTGACTGGTATTGAAATAAGAGCATACCTATGGTTTGAAAAGCGTACCATGGTGGTATGAACAAACCAAGACTGTAGGATGGTTGAATACATGATAGTAGAAGTGTATTAACTGTCATTTACAACTTTTAACATTGTATACCATAAGATACCACCCCGTACCAGGATGATATTGCGTGGTATTGTGTGGTATTTTTTGGTCCTGTAATTTTTTCACCCATAAATTTGTAGATCCAATAGATCATGATGAACTCGTCCCTTCTGTGCAAAAGTTTTTAAAAACGAATTAAAAACGAAGAAAATACCATATGGTATGCAGTTGGTACCGAGAGGCAAGTATTTTTTTCTCAAAAAATATTGAAAATAGTTCTCTATTGTAGAGCACGATGAACTCATTCCATCTGTGCAAAAAAAAATTAAAATCCGAGTTAAAACGAGGACGATATGAGCCGATTAAGAAAACTAGAGTAAATAAAAATGACATTTAATTCTCCATACTTAGATCTGAATTTTCTAAATAAATAGCCCAGATTTGGTTATTGATGGGTGCATAACCCATGGTTATGCACCCTATCTTGAGCCTTTATAAGGCCTGGGGTTGCACCCGCATTGTCTCTTGAAGCTTGACAAGTGATTTTCTTAGAACACAATGATGATGAAATATGAAAGTGGGTTCCGACCTTAATTCCGCTGATATGAAAAATGGATTTAGGAGCGCCTGCGAATGAGAAGCAACGCCTACGACGAACTGAAGGCAAGGTCATCAATTTCCGACGAGGGCCGTCGATTCATCTTCTGCTAGATCTAGTTAGATCGAAGAAGCTGGTTGACGCCGATTCGTCTTCAGAGAAGGTTGTAGTCGGGTTGAGAGGAAGGCGGGGCGATGGCGGGCGGAGGAAAGCGACAAATTTTAGGTGGTATAGAATTAGAGCTCGGTTGGGTTATTGGTTCAATTGGGTTTGGGTATTAATTTTTTTATTAATATCTTAAATGACTTGGCGTGCTGATTATACTAACATAACAGTTTTTTGGATGGAGATTGACGAAATTACCTTTTTGTTACCGGTCCAAACATATGTTTCTGAAACGTGCAAACTTAAAAATTTGTGACCGTTTTGTACAAAGTGAATAGTTTTGTTACCCATTTATGATAATTACTCAATAAAAAACACTAGATCACATAAGCAACGAATACATATACATAAGCAAATCATAGCATAGCATATGCATCAAAATTCTCAAGCATCCAATGGCAAGCATTATACGAAATCATGGAATAAGATAGTCATGTTATAATGAGTTAACACTTCTACACAATTCATTAAAACCAGCTATACATAGAAGAGAAGAAGGATATCACAATCGATGATGACGACATCTTATTGACTGTGCCACCTCCTAAGGATGCTAAGCTCTCACTCGAACATAGTGTTTACAGAAGTATAGTGGAAATTTTTGAGGTGTACAGAAAACTGAAGCCTAGTTCTCTATCTATAGGGAAGTAATCCTAGGGGTTCTCCTCTTCCAATCCAGTTAAGGTGTCCTCCTCCACCAAAACATGGATTCTTTGACTTGGGAACGAAGTAAGGGCTTCTAAAAGCTTCTTTGGGTTTGACTCTTAGCGGCGGTACCCACGTTGTAGATTTTCTACTTGGACTTGTTGCTTGTGGGCCAAGCAACTTCTCCTTGAATTTTGGGTATGACTTGGTCAGCTTTGGGCTTGCATTGATTGAAGCCATCTTGTGGTCATCGTCGATTCCTTATATGATCTTAGTTTCCCACAGTGGGCTTCACTTAGGCTCCATTTAAGACTTTTAGTAGGCTTCCCCTCCTTTGGGCTTCGTCTAATAGGTGAAAACTCCTTAATATATTCAAATATGCTCCATTGATCCTTCATAATTATCAAAGCATTGATCCTAACCATCCTAGGTTGTATTTTACCTTGAAAAGCCCAAAAACATACATAAAGGCATAAAAATATACACAAACACAATCTTGATCTAATAATAGCTCATTGATCAAATAGTTATAATATTCCGTATGAAATCAAGCAAATAATCCTAAAAATACATTGATACAAGGGGAAAATATATCAATATGAGAGTGATAAACACTATAATTTGAGTGTTATCACCCTTTCTATTAATTCTCTAGAATACCTCCGGCTTAGCTTCAAAGAAGAATATCCTAACTAATATATTTGACTCGAACCTTCTAGAAATTGGTGCCTATGATGGCACTTTTGCTTTTGATCTACAATTTGGACCGTCTTTTTCTGGGCTTGAGATCAGCTTCATTTGTGACTTCCAGTGTCGCACTTGATGTTTCTAGCTCGTACAAAGCGGTCCTCTAAAGTGTCATTGTCCAAATAATCATAAAGCACTACCAAAAAGGTATCAACAGTGTATAAAAAAAATATCCCTAAAGGCTACAAAAGCACCATTGAGAAATCATCAAGCAAAATCAAGTCAATATTAACAGAAAATATGTAGAAATCATTTAAGACTTCTAATAAAATGAGGGTACAAACACGTACATTTTACGTGTGATCAATATGTATCTCATGAATGTTTATTATTGTCAAAATGGCCTGAATGAAAAGGCGAGCTGTGAAAACAGGCTGTTCATATGCAGTTTGTTCATCTCAACATCCCCAACATATTAATTATGCTCTTCAAAATGATAACCACTTTGATATTTTTTGGAACAAAAAATATTTGTCAGTTATCACCCTAACTCATTTCGGGGAATGGGGCATTACTATTAATTTTTTCACCGGTAATAATAATAATAATAATAATAATAATAATAATTATTATTATTATTATTATTATTATTATTATTATAGTGCGGGTTGCAATGTTACAAGAAACTTTGGGCACGATTTGTAATTGCTAATTTTCCTTTATTAATCATCTCATTTCATCCGCTATGAGAAGGACCGAAAGAGAATGACGTCTCTAAAAGATGAGACTTTTTGAATTTTGAAGTTTATTTTTCAGAAACGTCCCTTGCTTCCTCAGTCACTGCTACATAAGAATCTCCTTCGATCTCATCAATTGTCATGACTCAAAGACGACCTTTAACCCTCCAGAATCCCCTTTTTGTTAAATCACAAAATAAAGAATCCCGTTTTGGCTGGCTCATGCAACAAGAACAAAACAGATAAAAGACATTAAGTCACGTGTTTGTTCTTCTTAAACTTTCAACTAGTCCCGGAAAATAATTAAAAGACAAAGTACTAAACTTGTTGATAAACATGACCGATCGCCTGCATGAAAATGCGATTACGCCGCATCGGATGCCGGAGTTGCAGCAGTAATAGTATTTCTGTGCAACATCAGGACAAATTAAGGAACATTTGCTAATGTTGATTCCATAGTGGTTAGAAAATTATTTTTTTAATTGACTACGTGTCGCTCTTTTTAATCGACTATGCAACATGGGACAAATTATTTTTTTTTTAATTGACTACGTGTCGCATCGAATTCCTAAAAACGTAAAAATCGGTAGTTTTTAAATTTTAAAGCGTGATTTTGACTTTACATTGGTCTCACATATGGATCAATAGCGAGCTCTATGTACAAATGAGCTAGTACATAGATTAACAAAATGAACCTCTTCCACCAATTCGATCTATTGACCGATCAACCGATTCTTAACACGGGAAACCATATATCAGACTCATAGTTGGATTACCCTTGAATAGTTAATTGACTTAAAACACCAAAGTACTCTCACATTCCCTCCCCTGGCCGGTTAAACGGAAGGAATCAACCGAAAGGCAGAATGCCAATAATGGACCACATCCCGACAGAATTTGCAGGCAAGCTCGAATTCAGTATCCCATCTTGATCCTCTCGATCATAATATCCCTCTTGGCTGTTTTCCCCCAGAGAGTTTGATATATGCTGATCGCCTCATGCATCCCGAATTTTGTTCAATAATTTGTCCCATTCTCCCTTCCCCTTCTCACATCCAATTGGTTCATTGCAAAGTTATGACTTGTACGCATGTTTCCATGCTTTAAAAGATACGACAAAATTAATGAAACAGTACTTGTGCATCATCCTCTATATAAAAAAGCCCTTGGGGACCCGTATCTATCTACTCGCCGGAAGCATCTCCTTGTATCGTTCGCCGCCGGCCGGTCACTAGCTCAAGTTCACGAATTGGGGAAAAAATGAGCCACTTCACGTTCATGGGTTTCTTAGCCCAACACCTCCACTGCTCATTTTTGCTACTACCCGCCATTTTCTTCTGCTCCGCTTACTTTCTCCTAAACCGATACTACTCCACTTCCCCGGCCCCGCCCAAGAAACATCTCCCCCCGTCGCCGCCGGGCCTGCCGGTGATCGGCAACCTCCACCAGATAGGCCGCCACCCGCACCGAACCTTCGCCGCTTTAGCCCGGCGCTACGCCGCCCCCGTGATGCTCCTCCGGCTGGGGAGCCGGCCGGCGCTGCTCGTCTCCACGGGGGCGGCGGCCCGGGAGCTGTTCAAGAACCACGACCTCCTCGTCTCCACCAGGGTCCGGATCAAGACCATCGAGAAGCTCTTCTACGACGCCAAGACCGTCGCCTCCGCCCCACCGGGGGACTACTGGCGCCACGCGCGTGCCACGTGCGTCCTCCACCTGCTCAGCAACAAGCGGGTGCAGTCCTTCGCGTCCGTCCGGGCCCAGGAGACGAACCTGGTGGTGGAGAGGCTCGTCGCCGCGTCGCGGCGTGGGGCCCGCGTGGACCTGAGCGACGTGGCGACGTGCCTCTCCAACGACGTCATATGTCGGGTGGCGTTCGGCGGCAAGCTGACGACGACGACGTCGTCGAATCGGTTCAAGGAGTTGTTGGACGAGCTGATGAGCTTGCTCGGCGGATACTTCGTCGGGGATTTCATTCCGTCGTTGTTCTGGGTGAACTGGGTCTCAGGTGTGAACGGGAGGGTGGACAAGACGTTTAAGGAGTTCGATGATATACTGGAGAGCGTGCTTATCGAGCATGAGAAAGATGGAGTCGTGAAAACTAGCACAATGGACGACGAAGAGGGGAAAAGTTTTGTGGATGTTTTGCTCGAGGAGCAAAAGGATGGAAAGACAGGCCATTTTCTTGGTCGAGATAACATCAAAGCTCTTCTCCTGGTACGTGTGCGATATTTCGGCACAACCTAATATGCACTTGTACACATTTTGACATAGTTGTTAAACTTTGTTTTAAACAGGACATGTTTGTCGGCGGAACCGATACAACCGCAACGCTAGTGGAATGGGTCATGGCAGAACTCCTACGACATCCAAACATCATGAACAAGTTACAACACGAGGTGAGAACGGTTGCCAAAGGGAACGTCGGCGACGGGATGATCTCTGAATCTGATTTGGATAACATGACATACTTGAAACAAGTCATCCTGGAAACGCTTCGTTTGCACCCTCCGGTCCCGCTGCTTGCACCTAGAGAGCTGACGGAAGATTGCACGATCATGGGCTACGACCTGGCGGCTGGTACGTTCATTTTCACCAATGCTTGGGCCATCGGAAGAGACCCTAATCGTTGGGCCGACCCAGATGAGTTCCAGCCGGAGAGGTTTGCGAATCGCAGCTTGGATGATAGCATCCATGCTTTCGACGTCGTCCCGTTTGGCGCGGGGAGAAGGGGTTGTGCTGGCAGGTCGTTTGCGCTTGCAACTGCTGAGCTTCTGATAGCGAATCTGGTGGGGAGATTTGATTGGGCACTGCCTGATGGTGGTAAGGCTGAGGATTTGGACATGAGTGAGTGTACACTTCCTACTATACATTTGCGGTATCCCCTACTTGCCATGGCGACTCCGGTTTAGTCATTTGGTTTTGGGGTTTAATTTCATATATGTTGTTTCAGTTTCTTCATTCCTTACTGTCAAATCTTACCCTACTGGGGCAGGGTATTTTCTAGTTGAGATCTACTCAACACCCTCTTCATTATCAATATGAGTCTTTAAAATATCGGTTATTGTATAATCAAACGATTGTTAGCATTTATGATGCTTTAACATGTTATCTTAACTGGAGGGGTAAACATCGCTCTAATTTTACTATATATTATCCGTCTAACTTAAAACACTTATAAGGGTGGGGTGGGGTGGGGTGGGAGTTGCAGTGATAAGGCCGTATCGAAGAGGAAGTTGAACGCAGTATTGTGTCGAGCCAACGAAAAAGGACGTTGGTAGTTGGACCATGGATGGGTTGACATTTTAGGCAAAAAGAAGAGGAGAATGGAGGACAAGCAACGATGAATTATAGATGAATGATTCATAGTAGAAAAGTATGAAATGATAACTCGAATTAAGAAAAACAAAACTACATTATTTGTTTTTTTTTTAGGCTAGTCGACCCAACTGGTACTAAAACCCGAATATCGAAAATTCAAAAATCGGTTTAAAAGCTAGCCTCCTAGGTATTTACTAGATTTGAGTGCTTTTACTTAATGTTTTAGAAGTCGTATCTTACCACCTGGTCGGACCATAAATTCCGATTGCATGACTTCAAACCAATAATTGGTTTTAGTTGTATGAAACAATTGAACTATGGTTAAATCACGATATTCGTTCAAAATACCAGTGACTATTGGGTATAAACTCCGGTACGGTTTCACAATCTTTGTTTTTTTGTTGAGCTTTAGGTATAAATAGTTTTGAAACAAAAACTACAACCTTTGAGAGATGGAGAACGTAAGAGTTAACTTTTACATTTTAAAAGCTAGCTTTTGACGCATTAATTGTAAATCAAGAGTGTCATAAATAATTTTCACGGGTGAATATTGAATAATTGCTCATGAACATGATCATTCAGATATGTTATTTCAAGCAAAACACCAGATACCCTAATCAAACCCAATGTGCCACAAAACAAAATTTACTAAACAGAAATTAACAAGACATTTGCACATTCCGCCAAATCTTTGCATACTCTCCTATACTACACGTTCATCAAAAACTTCCAAAGAATCAACAACGAAGGCCCTGCTCTAGTGCGTCTGCATCTCCTGAATATAATGACCCACTTGCTGCACCCCAATAAATAAGGCATCAGCAGCAATAACCAGCCCAACCTGTCAAGATACACATCAACCAAGATTGATTATCATCACACCCATACCAATCGACATTGGGGGCAGAAAACAGAGGAGTTGATTACCAGACGGGCAGAGAACAGTAACCGGTATCCCCAGCCTTCTTTGGCAGCAGCAGCTCTTTGTTGGTCTGTCCACCTTTACTCAAATGGAGTTTCTCAAGGTAAGGAACAAGATTACCAACTATAGCAATGGAATATTCACTACTGGTTCAAACTCATATATAACTTGCATAAACAGTGATAGCATCAAATAGGAGACTCCAGTCTGAACATGTGATTGCTGGAGTCAAGCAGAAATTCAAGACCGTGCAGAGTGCGAATCAGATATGCATAGGAAAAACCTTCATGTTTCATGCAAAATGACAATGTTAAGTAACAGGACTAGATGATTGAAATGAAATAATAAGAGGCATCAGGAGACGATTTATACCCAACGAATTCAGAAATGCCTCCTATTCCTGCGAACTTGAAAGGTTGAGGTCCTTCTCGTACAAGATCCTAGTTCATGGTTTGAAGAAGAGTCATTTATTGGTTAAATAGGCCAAGACACAAAAAGTAGGAAGTTCTGAAATGGGAATGGGATGAATATCGATCATGGGAGACAAAAAGAAAAGGAAGCGAGTACTGGAAATGCAACAAAATACCTCTTCTTCTGCAGCCTCCAGGCCCCCTTGAACCCAAAAAATGTTTGAATAACCCGCCTTAAGCAGTAGTTCACAAGCAGCAAGAGATCTGGGAGCATATCATTATTCAAAACAAAGCTTAATGTCTCTTTCCACGAGTTAATACATTTTTGGTTCAAAGTTTGAGCAAGGGTTTCTTGTTGTCAAATGAAGCAGACAGACTACTACCTCAACCCTTTCTGGCATGCAACAATGATGTCTGTGTCCTTTGGGAATTTCTCCTCAACCCTAGTTAAGAATTGGCTGGCAAGCAAAGAAAGTACAAAAAATTACATGCAACTCAAAAAAAAAATTGGCAACAATAACTCAACATGTTACTAAGCCAGGTAATTGCTCCATTACTTGTTGTAAGAAAGTGTAGGCATACCACTCCACCAACCTCCTGTCAGGGCACAAATCCTAAAATATCATCAGCAGAAGAGGTAAAAGGAAATGTACAAAGAAAACTGCAGCGGATAATAACATGGTGAGGATGAGGGAAAACAAAGAGATAGTAACAGCCTGTATCAATATGCTATTAGAAGAAGTACAAGAGAGCAAGATTGCTAAGATTACCCATGACAAAATTTGTGATGTTTCTTGAAACTGCTCCAATGTCAAGCTCACTATCAACTTCAAAGATGGGAATCCACGACGAGCCTTTAACCCATGCCTTGAAGCAAACAAAATAATTAATGAGTTGTGGGAGATGTCTGCAAGTTGATCATAGCGCACACTAAGAGCATAAAGACCTATCCCTATATTAGCTGAAATTTGGCAACCCGCGAATTGTCAATTGTCGCTTTTGGTTACCTTTTCATGTTCAACAGAGGGCCGAACGTCCAGAAGAGTTTTGTTGGACAATTGAATTGCATACCCTGCTTCCCTTGGTGTAAGAATCTTCACTTTTCCTTCCCTAAGCTTTGTAATCACACGGGTAAAAAGGGTATGACATTCTACTATAATTTATATATGAATACTGATAAAGAGAACAATGATGGCAGATAAACACCAGGAAAAAGTACCATTGCATCCCATCTCTTCTTAGCAGCTGCCATATCTCTCATCTGCTTCAGTTCAATGTCTTCATTGGCAGCTCGTACATCTACAACGGCCTGATTAAAAGCAATCACAAATATGAAACTAGAGTTCCCCAAAAAAAGATGAGAACCCAAATCAAAATACTAAGGAGCGAAGAAGAAGAGAAGCAAGGTCACACCCATCAATCAGAGCTGAGAAAAGATTCGAAATTTAGCAGCGTACAGGATTGCGGCTTCTGTTGGCGGCGGAAGTCGGACTCAAAGGAGGAGCAAATGCCAAGTGCTGTGAGATATGCACATTGCTGGCCAGCAGTTTTGGGGTCTTCCATAAATGTGAAGTTGAATGAGAAGCTCGAAGGAGGTTGAGAGAAGGAAGTCCCAGAGACTCCATCTGTTGCAACTAACAAGTGTTTTTTCCAGAGACCGGCGGCGAGGGGAGCTGGTTGTGGTGGTGTGGTGCGTTGGCTGATCGTTTTCTGCTTATCCGGAAAGGATTTCCTGGTTTAGGCGAAAAACGCTATCCGGGATGGAAATTGTAATGGGTAAATGACCCATGCTGCCAAGGACTTGTCTGTAAAGCATAGAAGTGGGAGGGCTGGTTGTAAAACACAGAATTCGAAGGACCGAATAATAATTTTGATGGTTAGAGTTATGTGTATAAATCAAGGACTGCTTTACCGTGCCGCACCGGCCGGTAGAACCGGGAAAACCGGAAACCGGGCAAGTCCCGATACGGTAGCTGATATTCCGAGAAATAAGAGTGCCGGCCGGTATTTTCCATTGAACCGACCTTTCGCGAAATACCGGCCGGTTTTGATTCAGCCGGCGGTTCTTCAATTCCTTCTCCCCTGTTGTTCGTCATTCGTCTTTTCCGACCGTTGACCGTCAGCCGATTCTTCTTGAAGCCTCGCTGGTCGCTCCCATAGACAGGCCTATGGAGAAATCACAGAGGAGAGGAGGTGAGAAGATGAAGAAGATCTCGACGCCATAATCTCCGTCACAAACGACGATGATCTCGTGCACACGATGGTCGAGGAAGACCGCCTCTGCCGCGGTGGCGCTACCAGCAAGTCGGCCAGTGGTTCATCGACGCTTTGAATTTTGTCCCCGTTGGCGGCTGTGTTGCCATCTCAAATCAAATGCAATCCCTTCTCCGCCTCCTGCCATTATTCCCTTCCATCTCCGCCAAAATCATATCGTTGAGCGACGCCATAAATTGAAATTGGAACCGTGAGGGCGGAGGAGGCGAACAGGGATGCTGGATTCTCAGCTTAATTAATGAAGAGAGGGTGATTTTTGTTGAGTTGGGCAAATCCACCATTGAAGAAAGCTCTGGAATAGTTGGTGGGGAAGGAATACGAAGTGCAAAGGAGAGTGAAACATAAAGGAAAAGTGAAGAAGGGAAAGTAAAAAAAAAAAAAAAAAACTCGATTGGAATAGAATGGAAGGTAGACAGCTATCACAGACTAGAGAAGAAAGAAACGCATAAGTAATGGTGATTTTTTTTGAGTAAATACAATTTAATATCCAAACCTTTTATTTTAAACAATATAATAACCAAACATTTTCGAAAACAATCTAATATCCAAATAGTCAATTTTACGTTCGTTTGACCGTTAGTTTACACTTCAAAAAAGCTTTGTTTAGGTGAAATTGTAACAATACAACTTTGTTTCTTGTTTTAGCATTGCAGATGACTGAATATTTAGATATTCTATACCATCATGGTGGAGTCATGGACTTCTCGGGTTTGGAACTACGATATGTTGGGTGTTTTTCGGAGAAGATATCGATGGATATTGATGAAGTGTCGTACTTCAAACTTTTTTGAAGTGTCAACTAATGGTCAAACAGACAGAAAGTTGACGATTTGGATATTAGATTGTTTTCGAAAAGGTTTGGCTATTATATTGTTTAAAATAAAATGTTTGGATATTAAATTGTATTTACCCTTTTTTTTTTGTCAAAGATGGGTAAGGAATTGAAGATTTAGAAAATAGTAAAATACCAAAATAGTATTTCCTTAAATTATATTTATATAATAATAATTAAGAATAATAAAATATTGACGTTTTGTTCACGCTCTCAAATTTGAATTCTTAATAGATTGGCGCTCTGACGCTCTCCCTCTTGCTCCCGCTCTCGCTTCACGCTCTGGTTACCTAAGTTGGGAGGCGGTATAATCCGGTTTTATTCCGGTATTTTCCCGGTATGGTACCCTAATTTTGCCGGTACGGTTTTTTAACAAAAAAATAATTTTTTTATTTCAAAAACGGTATTTACCGGTAGGAAACGGTTGAACCATGGTTGTACCACGATTTACCATGCCAAATACGATTCCGGTTTGATGTCCGGTACGGTTTCGTAATCCATGGTATAAATCGGTATTGATATCTCAGACCAAAATTTGATTTAAATCTGAATCTCAAAATAAATTCGGATCTCAATCTCAATCCCTAATATTTTTTGGATATTACTATATACCTAATTACAAATTAATTTTCTTTAAAATTACCAATCAAATATATATAAGCAAATGTCTTTCCTATGCGCAGGGACGTAGCCAAGATTTTGTGGAGGGTTGGCCCATTTAGAAAAAATATATATGATAAAATAATTTTGTTAGATTTTTAAATCATTGATGATATAATTATTTATTTACAAAATTTTGGTAAATTAAATATATGACTATAAAAATTATCACTCTATATGTATCGAAAATTATTCATAATTTAGTTAGATATTTGTTTTTGAATGGTGTTATTTGTCAAGACCGTTTAGTATCAATAACTCGAGTTGTTGGGAAAGATTTAATTATGGATCTTAAATCTATTTAATATTTACTAACACTTTCCTGCTAACAAAAACCAATTTATATGTGGTTAAAATTTTTGCAAATTTGAATATCAAGTGCTGAATAAATGGAGTCGTTAAGATTCGAACACATGATCTCTCGGTCAACCATTTTCAATTAGAAATGCCCTCAATGGCTAAATTTCATTCTCAATGAACTATTATACTAATTTACTCTTTCCTTACTACCTGTTACACTCTCCCTACCCTTAATTGAAATAAAATTATTTTTACAAACTAGCTATGACTTGGTGGAAATATGTGGAAGATATTAAATAAGTACATCTTTAATTTTGGGCAGATCATATGCACCATTGCCATTTGTATAAAGCTCATTATAAAAACATTGAGCATGCTAATACACAACCTATAAATCAAACATCATATATCTGAAAGTTCAACCATTCTCATTTAACACGTGTTATTTTTCATACCCGATTAACTATTATACCTAATTTAACATTTTTACTCCCGAGCCAGGGTGGGTCCCAGGACCCATCCTTTAACACTCTCCCTCCCCTGCCTATGCGAAACAGCTCCACAAACCATTCTCAAAACATTTAAAAGTAAACTATGGTGTCAACAATTGTGAAAAACAAATGGAATAAAATCTCAAGCATAATAACAAAAATTAGGAAAATGTGGTGTTAATGAAGCATATAATAAACTGAAACAGGAAACGACTAAGTAGCTCATAAACATACTACAAGTAATGGAATAACTTGGTTTGGGTTATCAAATAGTGAGGGAATAAGTTACCTATAATTAAGTGGTCATTTTGGTAGTTGAGGTTCTAGCAGTTAGTGAGTGAACCTAGTTCTAAGAAAAAATTACACACTAGCTTATATTTTGACATTCATTAATTATTGCTCTATCAACCTAATCATATAGTCTCTCTGTTGGTTAAAACAAAAATCAACGATAATTGATCAAGGCAAAATTAATTCAACAAACATGCATATAATGGATATGAACTCGAGTTTAACAAGTCAGGGTAATCATACAGTCATCAATCCAACAAAACATAGTTAGGGTTCCTCATGCCAAAGTGAAAGGAAGTTAACTCCATCGAGAGTAGGGATGGCAATGGGTCGGGTTGGGGCGGGTTTTATCAAACCCAAATCCAAACCCATGGGTTTATCCGCCAAAAAAACCCGGGGTAAAACCCGTTGGGTTTGAAAAACTCAAACCCAACCCAACCCGCTGGGTACCCGTGGGTTTTTGTGGTAAAAATTTACAATGACAAGTTTCTTTCAAAATAAAAGTTTAACATCAATTTTCTCATACAAATTAATCATACAAAAAACACCAATCTAGAGCATAAAAACAAACCGCAAATGATCAATACAAATTGTTCAAAATTAAAGATAAACATACATAAACAATAAGATTAATTGAAAGCTTCTTCCTCGTCAACTAAGTTTCTTCACTCTTCACTTCATAATATCAACTTCATTCTAAACAATTAGAAAGAACAAATTATATATGTCTCCACAAACATATAGAATATTAGTTATTTAAGGAAGATATATTATTTAGAATATTAAATATATCGAAAAAGTAATTATATGTGTGTGGGCGGGTACCCATGGGGCGGGTTTACCTAAACCCAAACCCAACCCGACCCGGTGAATAGTGTAGCGGGTTTAAACCCGAACCCAGCCCAAAACCCGTCAACACGGGTTTTACCCGCGTTGACCGGATTGGGTTGGGTGGGTACCCGTGGGTTCGGGTTTTGTTGCCATCCCTAATCGAGAGAAGAGAATACAAAGAAGAGGAGATTTGACTTCATGATGATGGAGATATGCTCTTGATCTTCAATCTCCTCTTCTAAACTTGTTCGTTGAGCTCCAATAGTTAGAAGTCACTCAATTTTGCTTTTGATACTACTATTGTTGCTCTCCCTCTATAGGGTTTGTACTTTTGGTGTTTGGAAGTCCAAAACCTAACTCTCTTCTTCAAAAATCTCATAAACCTAACCAAAAGCAGACACAAAGTCACGACCAGAAGTCACAGTCGTGACTTTGGTATTTCCGGTCGAGATTCTTATACAGTCCGTTTCACCTATGTCTTCAAGGGGAGCCACAGGCGTGACAAATGGTGAAATTTACGGCCGTGACTTTGAGAAATGTTGTCTGTGACTTTTGATCAGAGCCCTGGACACAGTTCACAACCTTAAATGGAATTCTCGCAACCGTGACTTGTCTTCTCATGGTTGTGACTTCTCCCATTCGCTCTTCTTGATCCCTTTTCAGCCTCCAAATGCCTTAAAACTCGCTCTCAAGCCTTCTCCACGTCATATGACCTGAAATATGGCAAAAGAACACTACCTAGACTAAAATGGCGTAGGAGAGGGTGTTTTCAAGATAAATTACCAAGAAACATGGGGTAAAACATGTATAATTAAGACCTTATCAATTATCATGTTTTATTAGTCTTTTTATCTGTACTATAAATGGCATGCTAGCTTGTGCTTCATGTCAGTGGTATAAATCAATATAAATGTGTTGTATGCAATAATGAGTAAAATGTAACTCGTAAGACATAACTCCAAAATCGCAAGAAAAATCACAACGATTTGATAGCTCCACAACATTTTGTACTCTTCTGGCAATGAGGTTATGGAGCTCGGCTACTGATAAATAGAGAACTTAAGAAATTTATGCATTTGAAATGGAAAATGACAAAGAGGAAAAAGACGGAAGAAAGTATAATTTGTTCTCATTTGTTTCGAGGCCATTTCGGCTCTCTTAATGGAGAGTGAGAGATTTCTATGTGGCCTTTCTATTTGAGCTGGAGCAAGAAATAAATAAGTAAGAATGCAAAACCAAATACGAACAAATAGGTTGAATTCAACACAACAACAAAAAATAAGCTTAATGATTGGTAACTCATATTAGGATATTTGTCCCTAAATTTTCTATTTGAACTCGAGCGAGAGATGACTAAAGATACAAAACCAAATACGAAAAAATGGACCACTAAAAGATTGACATATGTGACTCATAAGAAATAAAAGAAAGAAAAAATTCAAAACATGTGGCATTTTGGGCTCAAGATAGGTTGAGTAACGTTACTCACTCATGAGTAACTCAATTTAGATCTTTAGATTTAAGTGGACCTAGAAAATTCAAATATAAGAGTTGTGAATTAAATGCATTTTATTCTTAATCGACTCTTATCTTCTTCGTTCTAACTCGGATTTCAATTTTGTTGTTGCACAGATAGAACGAGTTCGTTGTGCTCTACAAAATGAGATCAATTTTCAACATTTTATGATAATTTTTTTTATACCTCTCGTTACCAACTTCGTACCATATGGTAATTCCTTTGTTTTTGAGTAATTTTTGAAAATATTTGCACAGAAGGAACGAGTTTATCATGATCTATGAGATCTAAAAAATTATGGGTGAAAAAAATACAGGACAAAAAATTATCGTACTTTACCACCCTGGTATGGGGGTGGTAACTGGTAACTTGTGGTAAACAATGATAAAAATCATAAATGACAGTTAGTATACTCCTACTATCATGTATTCAACCTTTCTACAGTCTTGGTATGTTCATACCATCATGGTACGCTTTCTTACCATATGGTACGCTCCTGTTTAATACCATATGATATTGACTGGTAAAAAATATCTCAAATTTTTTTTTGTTCTAAAAATATATCAAAGTGGATATCCTTTTAAAAAGCACAATTAATCTGATTTATCTGTGTAAAAAAAATTTAAATTCCAACTTAAAACGAGAGAAAAATCATCCATTAAAACTTAAAAGTAAAAGATAAAAGGTTTTTTTATGAGAAAGAGGGATGTTAATTTCACGCGGATATGAACAGATTATTCATGGTTACTAACCTAATCCGCACCTCACATTTTGGGACAATACCCCTGAAATTTGTAAGAATTACGAAATTACCGAAGATAGTGCCATGAAAACTCTACTTCTTACATATCAATTACATATCTCTATAGCAATAATCGAATTAAATTAGTTGTGATAGTGTGATAATCATTAAGCAAATATTCAAATCCGGTTTATACCACAGATATAAAAAAAAATCCTATTGGAATTTATATCAGCATATGACAGTTTTGCATCTTACAGTCCAAATTTCAGCTTCCGTTTTCCATGTCTGTTTCAATAATCTCTATTTTCCCCAGTTTTCCTCGGATGTTTTAATGAACTTTAAAATGAACGTCGTCCATCAAACAAACAAAGCCGGGAAACCAAATTTGTGATTCCAACTTTTTTTTGAGTGCGGATCCAGTGACTAAGGGGGGGTGCTTAGTCACTTGACTAAGCCCCTCCTAGCCATTAGATCTGGACACTTCAATCTAATGGTTAAAAAGTGGGAAGGGCTATTTAATTAATGACAGGGGTAGTTTGGGTATTATGGAAAATTACAAAGTATACAAACTGGATTTACAATCAGTACAAACCATACAAACATACGAACAGTACAAACTAGAGCGACAAAACATACAAACATTACAAACGTATGAACTGTACAAACAATACAAACTAGACCGACAAACAATACAAACCATACAAAAAGAAAAAACACCCGGGTTGACTTTGGAGGCTCCATCCCTATATAGAGGGGCTCCTTCCCAAAGTCAACCCGGGTGTTTTTTAGACATAAAAACAGTACGAACATGGTGGACAAAAATGACAAACTATACCGACAATCCATACGAACTGAAAAAACACCCGGGTTGACTTTGGAGGCTCCATCCCTATATAGAGGGGCTCCTTCCCAAAGTCAACCCGGGTGTTTTTTAGACATAAAAAACATTACAAACATGGTTGACAAAAATGATAAACACGATACACAAAAATAACAAAATTTACAAACATTACAAAAAAAACCGACAAACATTACAAAATAACAAAACGTACAAACATTACAAAAAAAACCGACAAACATTACAAAATAACAAAGCGTACAAACATTAGAAAATAAATCGACAAACAATACAAAGCATACTAACAGTACAAAATCTCTCTCTCTCTCTCTCTCTCTCTCTCTCTCTCTCTCTCTCTCTGGGGAATTCCCCTGTAATAATGGCGGATGAAAGGAGCATAATTCTCCTGCCCAGGAACTACGTGCCTGGAAATTGGACGGACGGGCCGAAAAACGGAGACGGGTGGATTATTTTTTTTATTTATTTTATAATTAAAAATAAAAAATAAACATGCAATTACTACAGTGCCCTTCATTAAATTGAATTAATAGGAGCCCTTAGATTTTAATGAAGTTGAGTGGTTGAGATTCACTTAGCCATGTGACTAAGGGGACCCCCTTAGTCACCTGATCTTAGCCCCTTTTTTTTCCCCATAGAAATATGCGATTGAATTATTAGCACAGAATCATTACCGCCACACAGTTTAAAATATCCGAAAGAGAAAAAACAACTCGACTTTCCCATTCGGATCTGCTGTCTTATTGGTAGCCATACTACAAATACATAAATGGAGAAACTCTAGACGGAACATCCAGTAGTAAGACATTCATTCACGTCCCAAAAGCTTCAGTAGCTCTAGCTAGCTCCCTCTTCCTCGTCATTGGAAGAAAGAAAGAAAGAAGAATGATTCACAATCTCAGAGCTTCACAGATGCTTGTTCCCATGGCTCTCTGCCTCGGCCTTGTCGGTGCTCTGATAATCTTCCTCCACAACACGTTGCTCAAGCCCCTCCTGCTGCAGCGCCGGCTTAATTCCCTTGGAGCCAGAGGCCCTTCCTACAAGTTCTTCTTCGGGAACACTATGGAGATGAAGAAACTGATGCAGGCGTCAATGGCGAAACCCATGACAGGGCTCTCTCACGACATCTATTCCAGGTTGCAGCCTCATCTCTCTGCTTGGACCAACACTTACGGTGAGAGCAAAATCTGTGTTACATTGATTAGCATCTGATATGCTATTTGAAAATTTCTCGGCGGCTGATCAAGGCTGGAGTTTCTTGTTATGGTTATGAATTAGGAAGGAATTTCACGTTCTGGTTTGGGCCTATGCCGTTCTTGGTCCTGTCGGAGCCGGAGCTGGTGAAGGAAGCGGCGGCTGATCGGGAGAAAGCTTTTCGTAAAATCGAGCTCAAAGGACCCATAAAGAGGATGCTTGGAGATGGGCTGGTGACATCTGAGGGCGAGAAGTGGGTCAAGATGAGGAAGTTGGCCAACCACTCTTTCTTTGGCGAGAGCTTGAAGGTTGGTTCGTTCGTTACATTTTTTTTTTTCGTTGAATCGTTCGTTACATTCACTTTTCAGCTATAATGGTGGAAATTTTTTGGTAACCAAGGTTTTGCACAATTCCTGTTCGTTGAAATGCCTGAACCAGTGATTGTGAACCCTGTGCTTTTTTGCCTGGCAGAACATGACTCCGGCCATGATTGCTAGCACAGAAATGATGTTGGAGAGGTGGAAGGATCACGTCGGCAAAGAGATTGAGGTGTATGAAGAATTCAAGTTCTTAACTTCCGAGGTCATTTCCAGGACTGCTTTTGGGAGTAATTTCGCTGAAGGAAAGCGCATTTTCGAGTTGTTGAACAAGATGGGTCAGCTCGCTGTATCCAATCACTTGAAAATTAGGATTCCCGGAATCAGGTATTATTCACCTTGGAAATGTTTAGATTGTTGCCTACTCATATCAAATTACTCAGTGAATTCGAGTTCACCTCTTTACCCTGTTTCAATTGGTTGCAGCAAGATATACAAAAGCAGAGAAGATACTGAAGCAGACAAGCTCGAACAAGGCATAAGAACCGTGATTTTGAGAATGCTGAGAAAGAGAGAAGAGATGGTGGCGAATGGAGAAGCAGAAAACTTTGGAAGCGATTTCTTTGGATTGCTTCTGAGTGCTTTACATGAAAGCGATGAATCCAAGCGTATATCGGAGGATGACCTCATAGATGAGTGCAAGACAGTGTATCTTGCTGGACAAGAAACAACTAATACTCTGCTGTCCTGGGTTATGCTGCTTCTATCGATCAATACAGATTGGCAGGAGAAGGCGAGAACGGAAGTTCTGACTCATTTGGGAGACCGAGCACCTGATGCAGATGGGATTTTGAAGCTCAAGACTGTAAGGACCCTTTTCTTTATGTGAATCTTCATGGCTTAATGTCTATGAACTCGAATGAAACTGGCTAGTCCTGCTATCTAAATTTCCTCACCCTGCAGTTGGGCATGATAATCAACGAGACCCTGAGATTATATCCTCCTGCAATTGGTATGGCTCGTAAAGTTGTCAAGGAAGTTCAACTCGGGACGCACACTCTCCCAAAGAACACCCACTTCACCATCGACACTCTAGCTCTTCATCAAGACCCTAAAACTTGGGGGGAAGATGCCCTTCAGTTCAATCCAGGGAGGTTCTCTGAAGGAGTTGCTGGAGCGACGAAGAACAATGCATCTGCATTTATCCCGTTTGGGATAGGACATCGAGTTTGCGCAGGGGCTAACTTCGCAGCAAACGAAGCGAAGATCGCACTTGCCATGATCCTTCAGCGCTATGCGTTCACGCTCTCCCCTGCTTATGTGCACTCTCCACGTCAATCCATAACAATCCGCCCGGAGCACGGAGTTCAGGTCATCCTCCATGCTCTGTAGTATTGGTGCATTGGTATGGTAGTTGTTGATTGTGGGATGTGTTACTGCGTGGATGTGGGGATTGGAACCAAGGCAGGAGAATGTATATTTGACTAGAATAAACGATTAATACCTGGTCATAGGTTTATGGTGTGATGCTTCTATAAGCATGTTTTATATGTACTGTTTGGTAAAGAAGCCTGCGATCCGCTGTGATTGAAGAGGCGTTGTTGTTTTACAGATTTGCTTTCTGGAAAGAGATAAGGGGATTTGATTCCCTTGTGCAGTCGTGCACCTCTGTTTATGCATAGTAAATTTCCATTTGATTTTACATCAAGTGTTTAGTTTCATCCGAATGTACCAGATTCATCTTTGAAGTTGTTTTAATCTTTAGCAAGTTAATCATTTTCTCCGATAAATATTTAGCAAATTAATCATTAAGTTATACTGGTGTTGGTCTTCATTGATGGCAATATATTCTTGACACAAAGGGAGATTACTATGTTCCGTCAATAGGAGGACGAACCATTGTTCGAAGCATGTGAAAAGTTTACATCTCTCTTACTTAAGTACACACACCATGGCATCACCGATTGGTTACAAGTGGAAAGCTTTTATAATGGTTTGACAAAGAAGTCACGAAACCTCATTGATGCGGCTAGTGGAGGTGCCATCAGGAACAAAGAAGTCGGAGAACTTCAACAATTGATTGAAGAGATGGCCCTCAAAAGCTACGATTGGGGTGACGGAAGGAGAGGCAAGAGCATGAAGAAGGGAAATCAAATGAAGGTCGAAGAACCATCATCGTTAGCGGCTCATATTCAAGAACTTACCAAGAAAATTGATCAAGTTGCATCATTAATGAAGCGCAATGAGAAGCAACTTATGAAATGTGATTGGTGTGGTGACTAAAGTCATACTATGGAAGAGTGTAAGTTTATGATCAAGACTTCACTACAATTTGAGCAAGCCAACTTTGTTGGAGAACAATGTCGAGGAAACAATCCTTATAGCTCAACATATAATACGAGTGGAGGAATCATCCTAACTTTCTTTGGTCTTCTCCGACGGATAGGAAACCTATGAGAATTCAATCCCAAGCGCCAATGCAAAATACTTATTCAAGACCGAGTCAACCTTCATACCAAGGAGCGTATCAAGAACAAAGTCGACCCTCTGATGGTCGAGTCTCTAAACTTGAAGGATTAGTAGGTCAATTGTTACACACTCCAACAAGAAGTTTGAGGCTACTGACAAGTTTGGAAGAGGGTCAAAGGAATCAACAAGCTTCACTCAAAATCTTGAAACACAACTAAGTTCGTTGGCTCAAACTCTATCGTTGAGACCTCAAGGAACTTTACCGGGCAATATCAAACCTAATCCAAAGGAAGGATGGCATGCGGTAACTCTAAGGAGTGGCCGACCTTTGAAGGAGATTCCTATCTCATCTCCGAGGATTCCGGTAAGAGAAGTTCAACGTGCAGCCGTTCAAGAAGAAGACCTAGTTCGGAAAGTGGAGCAACCCCCATTGAAATAAAAATTGAAGATGAGGAGAAGTCAAAGAAGACTCAAGTACCCGATCCAACACCAAAATTTCCTTATCCTATACGATTATTTGAAAGTGATATGTATCATGAATGTGCACCGTGGAAGGATACCTTGAAGTAATTGAAGGTAACGGTCCATCTCCTAGACATGGTAATGAAGATTCCTAAATATACTAAATTCTTGAAGAAAATATTGTCGGGAAAGAGAAAAATGGAAGAAGTAGCCATGATATCCATTAGTGAATTGGCTTCGGAATCCATCGGGTGTGGAAGATTCCCTCCCAAACTACAAGATCCGAGAATCTTCACTATTCCATGCACCTTAGGAATCAAAACTTTTTGGAATCCGTTAGCCGATCGATTTGGGGTCTAGCATTAACATTATGCCTACATGGATATACAATAAACTAGACCTTGGGCCACTCATACCTACTACGATGCAGATTGAGTTAGCCACAGAACAGACTATCATTGATGTAAGTGGAAGCAAGATCACCTTAAGGTTTGGTGAAAAGGAGATAAGCTACAAGATGACTCCAATCCCCAACTTGCACAAATACCTCAAACGGGACGATGTCAAGATGGATTGTGAGCCGGTCACACCTCCTACCACACTGGCTTCAAGCCCCGAGATAGAATGGTTCAATATGGTATCCCATATTGACCCCCATGATAGTAAAGTTGAAGTTGCAAGTGACTCTTGCAAAACTATGAGGAGACCGGGTGAGGAGAAGTTTCATTATAAAAAGGAAACTCAAGAGTTGATTAAAGTTTCTCATCAAGTCAATGATCATAGAAGGAAACTCAAAAGGTTCGTCTTTGAAGAGAGATATCCCAAGAAAGGACGTCGGATGGTGAAGAACAACCTAGCTCCTATATTCGAAGGTGAAGAATTCGGGGAATGCTATAAGCCATTCAGGGATAATGTCATTTCTACAAGGAAGATTGGTTCCTTCAATCATACACATCAACCTTCGAATGGATCCGTCCTATCTCAAGCACCGGATGATGCATCCGAGAGACTCCATGGTCTTCACCTGGGACTTCACCATAAGTATGATTTCTACGTAGAATCATCGGTGAATGGTGGAGATCTTTCCTTTTGATCTTAAGGAGTCAAGTCCGGCGAAAATACTATTAAAGACACGCTTGTTTGGAGGCAAACCAACAACTCGGTTTGCGTATCTTTTCCTTTTCTTTTTGAATAATTGCCTAGGTAGTATATTAGAGATACATCGAGAATGATTTATATAACTTAGTCCTTGTTTTCGAATGTTTGAATGATTTGGATGGATGATTAGGCTTAGGGAATTGGAGGAATTATGTTGTCCTAAACAAGGCAAAGATAGCAGTTAACATACTTAAGATCGCAGTAGCGATCTTGAGTCTTCAGCCCGCCATCTTGTTTGTGCTTATTTAAAGGGGGAACTCACATTTCACCCATGTATGTTAGTCATCTTATCTTTTTAGATCTACAAGCCATGTTTCTCCACTCCTCTTAGCTTGATGAGCATACCTACTCTATTCTCAATTTTCATCATAGTTCGAGGAGGATTTTTAATTGCTTTTGGATTCTGAACATGTCTCCTAGCAAGACAAGGTACATTTTCCCGTGTTCCATATTTTAGTCACCTTATCTTGCTCAACATGTGTTGAATGCTTGACATCTTGAATGCCCATTTTCATTTTGGCTTGACATTTGTATGGCATTGGATTGCTTTTCTTCTCTTTAATGCGCTTGCTATGTATTTTGTGAGACCTTGGTGAGCAATTTTTATGCATTTCTTTTGTTTTCAAAAACCGCCTACCAAATGTTTGTAAAAAGTCCCCAACTACATAGGCTTCATTCTTTACAATCATATTCATTGAGCATCAAATTCTTTGCATGGGTTAACTTATACTACTTGATTCTGCATTGATTTGGGAGATCCCATTGTTCATTATCTTGGAACTATCTCTACATCTAAGTTTCCTCACTTTCCCATGTCTTAGTCGCACTCAAGCTTGGGGGGAAACTTAGAGGCCTTATGATAGTTCATTGCAAAACTACCCTTATGATATGCGAGGTTTGGATTGATGGTTTGTGCATTGTGTACTACTTGTTTTGAAGGATAAAATACAAGACTAAGGAAATGGCTCATGGTGAGACTTCCTCTTCTCGTACCTCTCACCCTCAATAAGGCCACCGGATGAAGACAAGGAAATCCAAATCAAGGGAAGTAGTTGTTGAAGACCCACATCCACCATCATCTATTCCACATATATCGAGGGAACTTCATCAAGATAATCAAGTCAATGACGGAGGCGGCATAGAGCACATTACTCATTACTTTTGGAATATGTCCCGAGCAATTCAAGATCAAACTTCTGTGGCTTCAAGGATTACGCTTAGGCGAGAGTTCATGTCTCAACGGGATACTCCTCGCACAAATTTGGATTGAGGATGCAATCCGTTCTAAAGTACAGAAGTTGGAATGGCTTAAGTTGCTCTCTATCCAAGAAATAGTTAAATGGTGCTTTTTCTGGAGTTTATCAGCACTCTTACCATTCGAGACATGAGAGGTGCCGCCGACCTTGAAGACAATATACAATTCCATTTAGGAGGAGAGCATCTGCAACTGTCGATCCGGGAATTCACTAGAGCAATGAATATTTACTCAACGGATTTCATTGATTCACCGGACACTTTTGCTACCTTGACAAGGGAATCCGAGTTCCCCTATTTCAAGGCATTTTATGAATATGAAGTCAAGAGATCCGACAGTCTACCGTGAGATGTCAAGCTATCAAAAGCTAGTGAGGTGAAACCGGAATGGTGGCTCATTCACCACGAGATTGCTAGGTCGGTGGGAGGAAATAACCAGAGCAACGGAAACTTAACTGCCTGAGACGTCACCTTCTTTTATAGTATGCATCTACCCCAATTTCTTCATCTCAGTTTGGCTATCTTATCTATCTTCAAGTGTTATGAGATGGATCATCGGCTCACCGCACTTCATGGAGGAGTTTTTTTCACTCGTCTAGCCAAGTATTTCCAAGTTGACTTCGGGGCCGTGCAATTTCATTTGGATAGTAGGACCACTCCTATATCCTTCGAAGTCTCGAAGTCAAAACTCAAAGTTCTACAAATGAATGATGATGGCATTTGGGGAGTACGGGGACTTCCGTTTCCAACCATTAATATGTTGGACATGGAGGGTACCGGGTTCCATCTTCCTGAAGCTAGGGTGGCACGAGAGCGAAGAAGATTTGCAACCGAGGAAGAACAAGTGGAGAGCGTATATGAAGGAGGAGAGTCACCCATACCCACTCTTCAACCTATTCACCCACAGTTCAACAATGCAAGGGACTACTGAGTTGAAGCAATGATAGCGGCAATCCTTCACAATCAAGAAAGAGAGAATGAAGCACGACTCCGCATTATGGCATGCATTCTTGCGATCATGAAGAAGATTAACATTGTGATTGAAGATGTACCGACCCAATTTGATAACTCCGCTCCCCTTGCACTACTCCAAAAAGAAGAAGAAGGACCCTCCGAGGAGAATTGAGTACTAGGCATCCAAGGTCTAAGTTCTATCTTTTCTTTTTCTTTGTCTTTCTTTATTTTAATTAAACAATGTTTAATTTTTGCTTTATTTTTCATTTTGCTTTTCGTAATTTACATTCTCTAGCATTAGTAGTATTAGTTCTTATATTATTTATCTAGTTATCGTACCTATAGGTTATAACTCTTCATCTTCTTCCTCTCTCTCTCTCTCTCTCTCTTATGCGCTTTATCCTTTTGAAAAATACTAGGAAGACAAAGACCTACAGTTGTGTACCTTCACCAACACACAACCCAACCTATGGTAACCTTCATGATCTTTTCTTAGGAAAAAATCCAAAAGTACCACTGTTTAAAAAAAAAATTTCAAAAATACCACCCAACCCCAAAAATTTCCAAAAATACCACCCTTTTTCAAAAACCGCCACCTCACCCTGCGGTTTACACGAAAACCGTTTGTCGGAGGCGCGGTTTTCTATGCAAACCGCGGGCCTAGGGAGCGGTTATAAAAAAAAAAATTTGACCAAACCGCTGGGTGGGGTGGCGGTTTGACCCAAAACCGCCACCCCACCCAGCGGTTTGGTCCAATTTTTTTTTTTTTTTTTCGATCAACTCCTAACTTCGGCCGAAACTTCAAATGAACGTAACTTTTCACTCGGGTATCCGATCGTAGCGATTTTTTTTTCCATTTCGCATAAATTTTCAAGATCTACAACTTTTACTAGGATGAAATTTTCAAAAAAGGAACTATTTGTGGATATACGGGACCTTGGGAATAACTTTACCTTTACTTTTCACAAATCCATGTATATTTTGAAATTATGATTATATTAAAAGTTGTAGATCTTGAAAAGTTATGTTGAATCAAAAAAAATTTCATGACATTCGGATTTTGGAGCACAAAGTTATGGCCGCCTAAAGTTTGACGAAATCAAAAAAAGGCTCGTTCGGGGTGGCAAATGACGTTTTTTCGAGACGAAGGCGGGACCCGGCGATTTGTGGCTTGCAAGATCTCAAAAAGTTATTCGGATTCAAAAAATGGAGGCCCCAAAGTTTGACGAAATGGAGGCCGCAAAGTTATTCGGATTCAAAAAATGGAGGCCCCAAAGTTTGACGAAATGCGAGACCCGGCAGTATGCGGCTTGCAAGATCTCAAAAAGTTTGCGGCCTCCATTTTTTGAATCCGAATAAATTTTTGAGATCTTGCAAGCCGCAAACTGCCGGGTCCCGCCTTCGTCTCGAAAAAACGTCATTTGCCACCCCGAACGAGCCTTTTTTTTATTTCGTCAAACTTTGGGCGGCCATAACTTTGTGCTCCAAAATCCGAATTTCATGAATTATTTTTTGATTCCACATAACTTTTCAAGATCTACAACTTTTAATATAATCATAATTTCAAAATATACATGGATTTGTGAAAAGTAAAGGTAAAGTTATTCCCAAGGTCCCGTATATCCACAAATAGTTCCAGTTTTGAAAATTTCATCCTAGTAAAAGTTGTAGATCTTGAAAAGTTATGCGAAATGAAAAAAAAATCGCTACGATCGGATACCCGAGTGAAAAGTTACGTTCGTTTGAAGTTTCGGCCGAAGTTAGGAGTTGATCGAAAAAAAAAGAAAAAAAATTGGACCAAACCGCTGGGTGGGGTGGCGGTTTTGCGTCAAACCGCCACCCCACCCAGCGGTTTGGTCAAAAAAAAATTTTTTTATAACCGCTCCCTAGGCCCGCGGTTTGCATAGAAAACCGCGCCTCCGACAAACGGTTTTCGTGTAAACCGCAGGGTGGGGTGGCGGTTTTTGAAAAAGGGTGGTATTTTTGGAAATTTTGGGGTTGGGTGGTATTTTTGGAATTTTTTTTTTAAACAGTGGTATTTTTGGATTTTTTCCCTTTTCTTATGAAACTCCCACATTGAGGATAATGTGTTGCTAAAGTGTGGGGGGATGTGTGTGAATGTTTGAATAATTATCATGATTGGTTAAACCATGAATTGCTAGTATCATCCCTTGTTTGTGAATGTAAGACGTTGATGAATGCACATGGGATTGTATGTTAGCAATTGTGTTTGTGTTGTGGTGATCAATGTTCAAATGATAGTGTTTTGGAACCTTGAATGCAATACCCAAAAAAATTTCAAATTTGAGGGTTCCATATCATCTTGTTCCTTGCAACCCCCTACTTAATATGCTTTGATTTGCTAGAAAATTGATGTGTTGTGCTAGGTGATAGTTGCATGATTAGAGTACCGGTGTATGAGTAATTTTACTACTCTTCCTCTTTTGTGAGTTGATAATATTTTCTATTTTAGGAATAACATGTGTGCTGAATTCTCTTTTTGTTTGATTTTTGAACTCGAAGCTTTTAAAGATTTGTGCGAATTAGAAAAGAAAGGAAAGTGGTGAAAATCTTTTGAAAATAAGGTTCTCACGTGAGAGGCAACCAATCCTTACGGAATAGGAGTGCCCTTTGAAGATATTCTTGGGAATCGGATAGCTTTACAGTGTCCCAATCATCTTTCACTACTTACCATCCCCCAAGTATCTTTCCTCCTCACAAAATCATATGCCCAGGTCCAAAGTACCTTTTAGCGATTCATGAGAACTCAAAGCTCTCGTTTGTACCCAACATGTGTGGCAACCCAATGTGAAGTGTAGGTTAGGAAGTGGTGCTCGGGCTAAGATGAATCCGCCCATCAACTTCTTCACATGTAACCTTGAAATGGAAGGCTATGATTCATCCCCTCTTGGTTATGAAGGAGAGATGCTTGCTTGCAAAAGGATTTTAAGAGCTTGGTGCAATGCCCGTCAATGTCTAAAAAGGAGATCAATAAACGACAACTCCTAATCATAAGAAAGAATAAAGAGCACATTCGAGAATTCATGTGCTTATTATTGTTTGAGAAATCCCCAAGTGCACACCTTGAATGTTCGGCCTAAGGTAGTAAGTATGGTCCTCCCCCGAGAGTTTGTGCTTGCATAGTAAGATGATAGTAACATTCATCCTTCTCCGTCTACTCTTCTATATGAAATGAAGAACTAGAGTGAATTCCCCATTAATTTATCTATCATGTTGCATTAGGTTTGAGTAGGTCTTCTTGGGACAAGCAAACGCCTAAGTGTGGGGGAGTTTGATAATACCTAAATTGATGTTATTTACCCTTTATAATAAGGTTTGTTTCGTGCCAATTCATGTGAATAATTGCTTGAACATCCTCAATTGCATCCCTATTTTGTTCCTATTTGAATTCAATGTGATTTTAGGGTGCTTTAGACGATACATGTGAATTAGGTACAAAATAAGGTCACAAGTGTAGCAAGGGAGTAGAAGACTGAATATTGTGACCTAGAAGTGAAGATCATGGACCAAAAAGTCAAGCTGCAGATCGTGGCCGCGAATTGGAAGGCTTAGGGCGCGAATTTCGTGAAGAAGGAGCCATGGAGAAACAAAGAGTTTTCTCGGTTGGATCACTGCCACTCTGTAAATTGACCGCGAGGAAGATCACGACCGTGACTCGCGGATCGCGATCGCGAAGTCATCCCGCGATCTCCTCGTCACCGAAGGCTGAAACGGCAGCGTCGCAAGATCGCGACCTCGCCGTGAAGAAGTAGCCATGGAGAAATAGAGAGTTTCCTCGGCTCGATCATGGCCACATTTTAAACTGACCGCGAGGAAGATCGTGGTTGTGACTCGTGGATCAAGACCGCGAAGTCAGCCTGCAATCTCCTTGTCCCCGAAGGCCAAAACCCCAATGTCACAAGATCGCGGTCTCGCCATTGAAGATCTCGTCCGCGATCTTGGCCCTGTCTGGCCGCAAACTTCTCTGTCCTCAAATGCCTATAAATAGAAGACTCCTTCTCCCTCATTTGGAGAGATGATTTTGAGATAGAATTTCTAGTTTTAGATAGAGAAAAGAGAGAGAAGCTGAAGGAATGAGAAGGGGCTAGAAGAGAGGAGACATCTTTCACAACCTCAAGACTTCTTCAATTTCTTCTATGTATCTTCTTTCCTCCTTTATGGAGTAGGTTTCTAAGTTACTAGGGGTTCTAAACCCCAAACCCTAGTTTTAAGGTTTACTATGTATGTATGGATATTTTTGGGTTTGAATGAATGAAAGTGTTTATCTACTTGATTTTATTGCTATTCTATCTTTGATTGTGTTTGGGTAAGTTTACCTAATCTTCTCTACTAGCCTACATTATGCTTCTATGTTGGGTTTGGAGTTTTAGAGTTAGACGTGTATGCGTCATCAATCAAATCAAGGTTAGATATATGAATAGGGACCTTTTGTGGTCGAGGCCACCGAACCCCTTCAATAGATAGCCTTCCTAGATAGAACCCGGGATGAAACCTCGGTGTGGATGGTGGGTAGTACCCATTGAAAGGATCTATGAGCTTAATGCCCCAGATATGATAGCCTAGATCAAGGTTACTATATATGGGTATAGGGGAGGCGTACTCGGAGGTACGTGGATAACCACGAAAGCCCACGGAAAAGAGCTCACTCACCATATTCAATAAACCCTAAGTATCTAGACATTACATAGTAGCCCTAGGCAAGGGTGAGGGATAGTTCCCCGAAGTACCTGCTTTTAGCTTTATCAATCTCTAGCCTAGTTAATTCGCTCAAATCCTCCACAAAACCCTCAAACCGATAGACTAAATATCAATGAGGTGGGAAGTAGGCTAGGTTACCAAGACCCGAGTAGAATACGACATTGATTGCCACGTTACAACAATGCCATCTTAGGTTAATAACCTTTTGAGGTACACATCTGTCATTTCTGCACGAGGATTACAAGAGGAGGCTATGTTTACATTATAGACCAGCACATCGACGAGCATAGGGAGGAGTACAGATTTGCTCTTTAGGAGACATTAGTGAGAGAAGGACCTATCTATTGTCAGCCGCCTTTCACCTTTGGAGTTTACAAGCAAGGGAGTAAACCTTGTCAGCAACACTTGCCCAACATATCATGTGTGGACGGCAAAAAGGAAACCAACCGTACATTTGGGTTGGGGGTCTTTTGGAACCTTTGATTCCATAAATGGTGTATTACAAGAATGTGTGTATTAAGATTATGTGTATACTAAGAATGTGTGGGTTTTAAGAATGTTTTGTTTGGAAAACATAGAAGAATGCATGGATTATAGATGACATGAACTATGGATACTAAATCTCACCAAAAAGGTGAGATTCAGTATACATAATTTTCTATATATTATGAATACATCATGCATTCTCTATACATGCATTTTGTGATTAAAACAAGTAAAAAAATGTTGTGTTCTGCAGAATACATGTATACTCAGAATACAACATTTAGAGTCAGAAGTTCCAAATAAGGCCTTAGTAAGACTACTTGGCATGGATTTGGAGCTAGAAACCCACCACCACAACCTCAGCTTGGCAACTTTGGAGACCAACCAGGAAAATTGATAGAAGTCGTAGGAAGTACAAAGGAGAACCTGATCAACTACCAGACCATGAACGAGCAACATTGGGATCCCTGAAGAAGGAAAGGAAAATGGAGCTGGAGGAGACTCGAGCTTGGCGCAAGAGACAAGAGGAGGCACAAAAATGAAGCTATTCGTGGATGGAGGCCTTCAATTGGTCATTGCGAGGCCTTCACCCATGTAGTGCACCACCACGAGGAGGACCCAACATGTAGGAGATGAAGATTTGAGGAAGCCACTTGTACTTTTTTTGTTTAGACAATTTGAGTCTCTTCAAAACAATAATGGAGAACTAGCTACTATGAATTATGAATTTGGATTTTAATGACACTCGAGGTAATTCATTTCAACTGTACCACAACTCACTTTTATTTATTCCATTGAGACAATGTCCATTTTAAAGTGTGGGGTGGGAATGGTTTATATGTTTTAGCTTGTTATGATGACTAGGTTGTGTTTCTTGTGTCATATTTCACTTCCTGGTACATGGATGGAGTTTAAAAGAGAGTTTTGGGATGATTGGAGGAAACAACAGGAGTGAACATAGTCGAGGAGTAAAGGAACGGTAAGACCTCCAAGTCACAATGTGGGTCGTGACGTTCCCTCTCCAACCACGACCTTGAGGGAGAAACATGGGCATCTTCAAGAGTCGTTGCTAGAATTACATACCTAGTGTTGACCGTAACATTCAGCAGAGAAGCAAGATCTTTGATCAATTTCATGGACAACAATCATAAGTCATGGCTACGCTTGTGACATCCATTCCTTGCCCATAGCACCCCCCCCCCCCCCCCCAATCACTAATAAAAATGGTTAACTTTTGGAATGTCATGGCCTAAAGTTGTAATGTCATTGTTGTGATATGAGGTCAGACATCAACTTTGATGTGTGTATAAAAGTATGTTTGCAAATTTTAAAGAAGAGAAATGGGGTTTGGATCCAAAACACCAAAGGGATGAATCCTATAGGGGGAGAGCAATCTAAGGGAAATCTTAGAGCAAAATTGGAGAATGTTTTGCCATTGGAGCTCGAGGAACAAGCTTGGAAGTGAGGATTCAAAAGCATATACATGAATTCTCTCTCTTATCTATGGAGTAACTTCGCTTCACTTAAGTTTGAGGAACCCTAGCTATGTTTTGTTTGATTGGATGATTGTATGACTACTCTTTCTTGTAAATCTTGGTTCATGTTCAATATATGCATGATTTTGGTTCAATTATGCATTAGTCGAGATTATGGATTCTTCTTTGAGTATATATATGAGGGAATAACTTATTAAGTCAAGAGGGCACCATAGACTGAAAGTAGTGGATCTATTGAACGAGAGTGAGTCAATTCATTGCCTTGTATTAGGTGAGAGTCTTGCCCAATATAGGGAGTCTAGTTCTAACTTGCCTTGGTATTCTGTCTTAGTTGAGTGATTTCATTTATAGCACGTACCAAATTTACCTTGCCGAAAGGCCAAGATCGTATTCCCTAGGGTCTCTCACAACCACTTACTTAAGTGTCGAGGGACGAGTTCTATGGTTTATAACTTATGTAGGAGGTTGAGGCGCCTCTGGTTTTGTAAAAAAAATGTAAAAGATTGCGAGAAAGGAAGCAGGATAGGAAGGTATTGCACATGCAAGCTCCCCCTATAGTTCCTTTGACTTCGCTATGATTCTGGCTACACATAGTGATGTTTATGGGAATCCACAATGGATTCTCCTCTTACTATGCTCCTGTTTGGCTGCTTCCAAGCTCAAGCGAGGTATATGGGAGAGTCGACATTTAGATTGCATATGTCACGGTATGCAATAAGTATGTATATATTCCAGGAGCGGGTAATTCGAATAAACACACCTACGGGCAATCAAGAATCAACTCTTGATCCTAGCACCATATGAGTTGTTTTATCTTTGTTAGGTTTACCCTACCATATGCCATGGCAATTAGCAGATCTAGTAGGCAGTGATGGTGACCTTACGGATTTCTCCCTTGAGGAAGTCGAAGAATTTTGATAGATTAACGATCGATTGTGAGGGACTCTCGTTTCCAACCTCATCAACCCACAAATTCGTTTATAAGGATATAAACTTTGAAACTAGTCCTCATATTGAGCATACAATTGCATCAATGATAAACCAAACGAAAGAACAAAGCAACAAATAAAGAAATCAAATCATATATGCCAAAATCAAGAGTTACAAAGTTAAAGAACCTCTAGGGTCCACAAACCTATGCAACTAAGGAATTAACCAAACATGGGGACGGGTTCTAGGGATTCAATGAACAGAAACAAAGAGTCAAGAGAAACTCTAAATTGGGTGAGTCACTCTGTCTACAGAGTTACGACCCTTTGAATCTTCCTATCACTTGCCACTAAGTTCTGAACTCCAGTGTTCTATTTATAGTGATAGGAAGTGATGAAGGCTCCGTGAGAATACGCCAAGCCACCTTGGTTAACAAAATCTTGACTGGAACAACCAAAATCATGCAAACTTAAACCTTCCCCATGCTTGCTGCCACATAAAGAATTTCAAGCAATCCAATGGATATGCCGCTATCCTTGAGTTGTTACCCACCAAAATCATGTCATATGTGCATTCAGATGACGAATCAAATCCTTAGGGAGATAAAAACATGACATTACATAAAAAGGCAGACCAACCGCTACTAACTTGAGAAGAACTTCCCTCAGCGCAATGGATAGATAGCGGACCTTACATCCTTGCAACTCTTCGACAAAATAGAAAGTCTATTTCTTAGACTTATGGACCAACGATGGTAACCCCAAATACCAGCGATGGTCCCCAATGCATCTTGGGATTGCGAATCCATATTTGGGCTAAAGAAGGCACTGATTTCGACAATTTAATTCGTTGCCCAGTTAACCCTTCATATTCATGCAATAATCTCATTAATTCTCCTCATCGCAGAGATGCTCGAAGGAACAAAAAGAATCATCAACAATTAATTGGTGAGAAACTTCAGGACATGAAGGGGAAATTCAAACACCTTGCAACTCATTCCTAGTCAACATTTCTTTAATCATTGCAATAAATTGATAAGATTCCAAGCTCGTGAAAGTTTAGTTTCTTTTGTTAAAGTCGCGCAGCTACAATTCAAGTTTGGATAGTTAGAATTGACCTTCAAACAATCATAAAAGTAGAGGGACATTTGGGGATACATACTCACCACATTCAAGTGTGATTGCTTGATTAATAAGAGTCTTGCAAAACTCTTCAGGATTCTTCAACAGAAAAAATCAAACAAGGATCTTGCCCTAGCTATGGGATCCACCAATAGCTAAACCAATAATCCATAAGCACTCATGCTCTATGGGGAAAACTCCTCATAATTAATTTCCATTCAACAAAATTCTATTACCCTATAATTTGTATTTACAACCCTTTATATAGTCCAGGCAAATAAAATAACTAAAAACTCAAAAAGAAACAAAAACTCAAACCAAAAAGGAAGGCCTAACTCGGCCAGCCCGAAACCCGATCATAATACCCAGTCATGTATTTAATGTTACTGGTCGGGGGTCCTTCCAGACCAAAAATCCAGTCTCCTCCCTTGATTCCCCAGTTAGGGAATCGTTAATTCCTGACCTGGTTTTTGCTGCTACGAGAATCACATAAAAAACCCTCGGAACATAATGCAAATAATAAAGGAGAAAGTCGGTCACCTTGACAAAGACCACGAGTAGATGGGAAGAACCCAGATGGTTTACCTTGACCAAGATCGAAAAGTAGCAGAGCAAACACATTCTTTAACCCAATGAATCCAATCATCAGCCAACCTCAATTTCCTAAGAATGGCGAACAGAAAAGGCCACTCAATCCGATCATACGCCTCCTCCATATCAAGCTTGATGGCCATGAATTTCGAGCGGCCAAACCTTTTTTTTATGTTTAATGAAGTGCATCAGCTCATGGGCAAAGAGAACATTGTCAACAATTTGTCGTTCCCAAACAAAACCATTATGTTCTAGAGAGACCAATTGTGGAAAAATCCTTCCCAACCTAACAGCCATAATCTTGGTTGTAACTTTGTACAAAAACTAGCATAAGCTAATAGGACGCAATTGAGAAACTTTTTCTACCATGTCAACTTTAGGAATAAGAGTCAACTAAGTGTGATTAAAATTCAACAAGAGTTTGCCCATGGTAAAGAAAGAAGTGATCGCCTTGATGACAATGTCACCAACTATATGCCAAAAAAGAACGGAAAACACCCCGTAAAACCATCCAAACCTAGAGATTTTAGAGCACCCATATGGAAAATTGTTTCTTTGATTTCAGCGGGGAGAATCAGAGCCAAGAGTTCTGCATTCATCTCCCTTGAGACAAGCCTACCAATAGGCATACTATTAACCCTTTGATCAATGCGAGCTGCAAACCCGGCGTCCAATCCATCACTAGTGAAAAGATCCTTGTAATAATCCACCATGATTTGTTCCTTACCCGCCTCCTCATAAACCCATTGACCCGCAACATTAAACAGTCCCTCAATTCTATTCCGTCGTCGTTTAGCACGAGTGACTACATGAAAGTATCCCATTTTCTTATCTCCTTCTGAGAGCCATTGAACATGCGATATTTGCTTCCAGGATAATTCCTTAGCCACCCAAGACGTAGCTAACTCAGATTCAATCTGGTAGCTCCATCCAGTCGACTGGATAATCATTCCAAACCTGTTGAGAGTCTGAAAGCAATTGCCTAATCCGACGAGCTAAATTGGTGGTCTCTTTCTTTGCCCAATAGAAGAGCTTATGTCGAGATTTCTTCATCCACGCCCATAGTGGGTCACATGGTGAGTCCTGAATTGGTTCCCGCCAAGTTGAATCCACAATTTGTAAAGCCTCCTCATTAGAACCCCAACGAGAATCAAACCTAAAAAGAGGCTTAACGTGAGGTTGAGGAACATTCCACCATAAAAGAATTGCTCTATGATCGCTACCTTGATCCAACAAATGCTCAAATGACCTCATCGACCAAGCATCCACCCAACCTTCAACGGCATAGAACAAGAATCTGTCCAACATACTATGAAGAAATGAAGAAATAAAATGACGATTTGTCCAAGCATAACGTGGACAAGAGAAACCAATATCAATGAGAGCAAGATCATCAACGAATTTGTGAGAAGCAAGGTCATCAGACGGATTAAAACCAGACCTCCTTGTTTCTCATCAAAGCTTAGCAAGTCATTAAAATCGCCCACAATGGTATTCGACACAGCAATAGAGAACAATAATTAACAAGACGGCGAAATTGGCGGTGCTGAAGACCATCCTCACAAAATACACAAACATCATCACTGATAATTGACCAGTAAAGCAAACTTGCAAAGACAAATAAAAAGAGTATGAACACAAATAGGAGATGGAAGATGCAGCTAACCAAGAAGTGGCCAGCCCCCCTGACAAACCAGAAGGATTAACTATACGACAATCCACAAATCCAAGACTACGAACAACAGACTCAACAAAGTCACGACTATTATAAGTTTTAGAAAGCAACAACAAATAAAGATTATGAACATGCACTAGGTCTTCTAAAGCTTGAATTGTCAAGGTAGGCCCCAAACCTCGACAATTCCACGCCAAAAAGCTCATTTGGTGCCATGGGGCCATTCACTGCTGGCTACCTCCACAGTTCCTACAGAAGACGACTTACCATAATCCATGTGCTGCCTTTTTTAATCAGGTTCTCCATCTTCTGGTACGACAACATCCACAAGAATCCTAGGAGCCTCAATCATAGAAAGGGCCAAGGACTGTGGCAACATCTCGGACTCCATCATCTCTGCATATGTTCGCTTCCTCCAATCCACCTCCAACTCCTCATCGGTCAGCACCATGCGGAAGGATGGATCACAACGAGAAGCTAGGGTAACCTTGAGCATGCCTACAAGCACCAACTTTGCGAGGTGAACCCAAGTATAATTGCCACGACCGAGCCCCCAACGAGGGACAACTAGTTGACCCGTCGGAAGTAACGTATGCTCATCAAGAAGAACACCATATGGAGTACACTATGACTAGGAGTGGAAATCGGTACGGTATCGGTATCCCAATAACAAATACCGAAATCCTGAATACCGAATTACACCCTAAACTCAATCCCAATCCCTACATAATTTCGGTATCCCAATCCCAATCGCAATCCCTAAATATTTCGTTATCCCAATCGGTACTTCGGTATCCCATTCGGTATTATCAAATACAAAATTATTTACCTTTACAATTAAAAATTAAATATTTACAATTATAAATTAGATTTTATTGTTTAATTTAGGGCAAAGAGACTAAGCAAATAGTCTTGAGTTTGCATAGAGCTAGGATATGGATAAGGAGAATGGAGGAGATGTGACATCTCAAGTTCTTGTAATTGGTAGTCTTTAATTTGACGAATTGGAGGTTGAGAGACTACTAATACTAATGTTTGTTTTTTGGTGTTATGAAAATAACAAGAGATATTAGGTGAGAACTGAGAGTGACTTAAATTGGAAAGTCAAATTTGAGTTGAACGAGGACTACTAAGTTATGAAATAGTGATGGAATGATCTATGTATAATTAAATGACACTCTTGGTGGTTGAGGATTGTATAGTAGTTAATGAGAGAGTCGAGTTGAGAGGATAAAATACACACTAGCTTATATTTTGGTATTGATCGGTATTTCGGTATATACTGATCTCAATCCCGTAATCCCTAATACCTAATAACAATTGAAATTCAATCCCAATCCCAATAAATAATACGTGCATTCAGTAATACCAAATATAGACAAATTCAGTACGGTATTTGGTATATATCAAATAACGGGGGGAGTTCTACGGTACCCAGGGTGAAATCTGGGGTACCGCATACCTTGAGTAAGTAAACGCTATCCAAAACTGGAATTGACTGATCTTTCGGACATGATACTATACTCTAACCCTTAAAGATAAAAATCTAGGTCTTAATTCTCTAAATCTTATACCACAATATTAATTTAATTAGAAACAATAATCGACGGTTACTATTCGTCCAAATATAGGCAAAAAATCAATGCACCATCTTAGGGTTTATAGTTTATGATTTAAATAATTAGGAACTATGGTTCACTCATTGAGGGTTAGGGTATAATCTCATGTCAATAAATCCTGTTAATTCGAAGTCTAGATAATGTTTTCATACTCAAGGTATCTGGTACTCCGAATTTCATTCGAAGTATCATAAAAGACACCTAAATACCGGTACCAAACTTCATGCCTAACTCCGACAGACAGAATTGCAGGCGGAAAAAAAAAATAGTCAGGCCCAGCGAAAGAAATAGCATAGGGCCCAAAATGTACAGGCCAGTTTTAAGTTTGGATCGTCCATGAGCACAACATCAAGGTTTTTCTCGTCTTTTTTCCCTGCATCCAAAATTCCAAACTCGCCATTAAGAGGCACCTCTTCTCCCCCAATCCATCTCTTTCTCTTTCTCTTTCTCTCCGCCACTCTGCCTCTCTCGCCTTCGCTCCCTTATCCTCTTCTCCTTCCTGCTTCCTCCCCCCCAAATTTCAACACCCAACCCCTCTCCTAAAACCTACCCCCTTTACGCCCTTCCAATGGCTTCCTCTTCAACCTTCACCCGCGCATCCATGGCGGAATCCTGCCTCCTATCACTTCCTTCCATCCTCACCACTCCCAGAACCCCTCTCCTCGCTCTATCAATCCCATCTCGACCCCTCAAGCTCCATCTCTCGCACTCCCTCTCTCTCAAGCCTACCACCCACCTCCGCTTCTCCTCTCTTATCCCCTTCGTAGCCCAGACCTCCGATTGGGCTCAGCAGGATGAGCAGAACACCACAGCCACCATTGCTGACTCGGAACAAGAAGACGGAGAAGGAAGCAGCTGGGAGAACGAAGGTGAAGATTCGGCAGTCGCGGAGGTGCCGGAGGCTTCGTATGCCGCCGCTGAAGATGGAATTGAGGCGCAGGAGCCGCCGGAGGACGCCAAAGTGTTCGTCGGTAACTTGCCCTACGATGTGGACAGTGAGAAGTTGGCTATGTTGTTCGAGCAGGCTGGAACTGTCGAGATTGCTGAGGTTTGTTTGGATTGAATACTTTAGTTTTTTACTTGTTTGACTTTCCATTTGCAGCTTTCTCAAGCCTTCTCGTCTTTGGTTTGTTTCTGCAGGTCATTTACAACAGGGAGACTGATAGCAGCCGTGGTTTCGGGTTTGTGACCATGAGTACTGTTGAAGAAGCTGACAAGGCTGTCGATATGTTCAGCAGCTATGTAAGTCAACCATCTGTTTTCGACAATTGATTACTGCTGTAGTATGTTGCTGAGCACAGTAGTGAAAATGAAATTATTGCAAGGGTTTTAGCTATTAGCTAAACAGTTTGGGTCTCTTCAGTTGTATTGAAAGACTGAGTCGACTGCTGAAAGTTGAGGATGTAAGCTCTTAGAGATATAATCTTGTTGGGTTGGCTGGAATTAGTGAACTTATTTGCATTTCTGCTTTGAATTGTTGAACTTACTCTCAATTGAGTTAACTCTAGTGTCTTGTGACCGGTCCATTGAGGGCAGGTTCTTGAACTGTGGTTGGAAGTAAAAACTCTGTAATTTCAGTTTGTGGTCTGTGCTTAATACTTCTATGCTGCATTTCAGTGAAATATTTGTAATATCGTGGAACGTTCCGTTCAGCCATCATTGACTTGTCCCTACTGTAGTAGGATATGCATGAACGTTTGAGCTAATGACATGTCTTTCTGAGCAAAACTTGGTTCTTCACCTTCAACTGAGTTCAACTTTGGTAATGTGCACAGGACATGGGAGGGAGGCTCTTGACAGTGAACAAAGCTGCTCCCAGAGGATCAAGGCCGGAGCGTGCTCCTCGTGTGTTTGAACCTGGTTGCAGAGTATACGTGGGGAACCTGCCATGGAGTGTCGATGATGCTCGCCTCGAGCAAGTCTTTAGCGAGCACGGCAAGGTCACAAGCGCACGAGTAGTCTACGACAGGGACAGTGGCCGCTCACGTGGTTTCGGGTTTGTGACGATGGCTGACGAGACGGAGATGAATGATGCCATCGCCGCTCTTGATGGACAGGTATATATGCATCTTTGCATTTACGTGATTGTTTGCTGGTTCGTTGTAGCGATAAAGAGTGAGGATCTTAGTAATGTTTTCTTTGTATGCAGTCTCTTGATGGCAGGGCCATCCGAGTAAACGTTGCGGAGGAGAGACCAAGGCGATCTTTCTAAGGTCTCTGCTGATTGTAAGACAGGAGGGTCACCATGATTTTTGCCTTCCTTTCCGGGACGTTGGGCTGGCTGGTTGGAGAGAAGAGAAGGTCAGAGGGTCTGAGTTTTCAGTTTCATTTATCCAATAGTTATAAGATTTTATCCGGGTGGTTTCTTCAACATGCCGTATAAAGGAATTTACCTTTTGGATGTTGTTTCCCGTCTAGTTTTTTCTTCTTTTCTGTATGCCAAATCCTTGATGCATTGCGATTTGCACAAGCAGAATATTGTACCCGTATAGCTGCACTTGAAGCGATGAAGGTAACGGCCCCATAGCTACTTTTTGCAAGCTGAAATTGCATGGTTTGCCGCCAGACACTCTGGAGTTCTAAAACTGTGCTGATTCAAATTTGATGGTGATTTTGGTTAATATTTCGTGAAGTAATGAAATACTATGAACCATTGAACAATGACTGGAAAGAAACCGAAACAGATATAAACGCCATTACTTACAAGCTCTGATTCATTAACACATAAAGAGCTGGACAAGGTAGTAAGGTAGCGCTCAAAGTCTCAACTCTCAACTAATTTATTTACATGACTAGAGCCAGAAAATCAGGTGATCCTCAGTTACAACTTACAACCCTAACATCCTAAAAGCTCAGTTGCACCTCAACTGAGCATCTTTGCTAGTAAGAGGGACGTATTGCACTGAAGTTTCACTCCGTACACTGATGGAGCCATCCTCAGTTCTTGTCAACGACCTTCAGGTCCTGAAAAATGCTGCCTACTGGAATCACCATACGTCCTCCGGGCTTTAACTGCTCGATCAGTGGCGGCTGTGGGATTTCAGTTGCCGCTGCCCCAACGTGGATTGCATCATACCGCGCAAACTATGGCCAACCTTGCCTTTCCATCTGTGTTTACAAGAAGGCATAACTCGAGCCACGGCATGGCATGGCATGGCATCAAGATCCCTAGCGTCACTGTGAAACTACCTAATAAGTTCTCTTTCTGCATTGCAACATACCTCCAGCATGCACTTCTCCGATAAAGTCCCTTAAAGTCCATGGGTCCCACCAGTGGCGGACCCAGAATTGCCGGAGAGGTGTGTCGCCGATAACATAATATAATAATTAAAAAAATTAATTAAAAATTATTAAAAAATTAATATAAATTAAATATAAATTACTAGAAATTAATTCATAAAGTTCACAATGTCATGTTTACTAGAAATGTCTGTAAATACATTCATTGCTTATGTTGCGAAGCAAATCCTTTTCGATATACACAACTAAACAATGATTCATTAAATTCGTCACTCAACCGATTTCGAAGTGCATTCTTGATTATCTTCATAGCTGAAATCTTTCGCAGCTTTCAATTGCAACAGGTAAAGTCAACACCAACTTCCAAAAGCAAGTAAAACTAAAGGGTAAAAGAAAATGGAGATGTGGTAGTGGCTCTCGATAATTAGAAACTAAAACGGGGTAAGGGTGAGTTTTTTAATTTTCAATAAAGGAAGGGTCAAGGGGTGGAAATGGTGAGTTTCAAAGGATGGGGTTATGTTTATTTTTTCCATTGTTGGGTTGTGGTAGGGATGACAACCAAACCCATGGTCGCGGGTACCCGACCTCCTCCGACCCAGTCAATACGGGAATGCCTGCATTGACTGGATATGGGGCTAGTATGGATAACCCCCCCCCCCCCCCCCCCCCCCCCAAAAAAAAGGTTGATGGGTATGGGGCGGGTATGGTTTTTAACTCTCCAGCCCTATACCCATACCCAAACCCGCCCTACCAAAGATATTATGTTATATACATAAAATATAAGGAGTGTATGGTAACTTGTCAGTCGAATGAAGAGTAATTAAAAGAAAAAATAAAGTGTTAAAATGTAATTGATGGCAACCAAACCTTAATTTCATCCTCTTATGTATTAGTTCCATAATTTTGGGTGGGTAGTATCCATATTTGTCACCATATTCTATTATTAATGGTGAGTAGTTGTCCGGGCGGTATTACCCATGGGTATTAGAAAACCACAGGTATGGGGATGAGTTTGTAAGACCTTTCACTGCATGGGTATGAGACGGGTAATGAGTTTGAATATTTGGAGATGAGGATGAGGTTGGTTTAGGCAAACCCGCTCTATTGTCATCTCTAGGTTGTGGTGTTGGTTACTCTAAAACAAACATACTTATTATTGTTTATTACTCATTAAGATAAATAACTTTATAACAAGAAAATCATTCTCGTATAATGAAGGTGTGTCGCTCACAATTATTTAAGGTGTGTCGGAAGTCCCGAATTAAAAAAATTTGTACCAAAAATATATAGGTACTTCACAAAATTTTCGGGCGAGGGTGTGTCGGACGACACACCCTGCCCTTTACTAGGTCCGCCACTGGGTCCCACGGATTTGTTACCGCTAAATACTTGAAGCAAACAATGAATTTTAGACAAAATCCATCATAGATCCAAATCTATCACCAAATCTTTCACCAATTCAGACATTCAGTGGGTTATAGTTTTAAAAAATAATTATTTCACTAATGTCGAGTTCATTAAGGCTAGTAAAGGACCTCGGGCATCATGGATCGAGTCGGGGAGCGAGTGGGTTCGGTTCCTCTCCCTGAAAAGGAGGTGATCCAGCCGCACCTTCCAGTACGGCTATCTTGTTACGACTTCACTCCAGTCACTAGCCCTGCCTTCGGCATCCCCCTCCTTTCGGTTAAGATAACGACTTCGGGCATGGCCCCCCACTGATCAGAGTACGCCGATTACCCCCGAACCGTACAGAATATTGGTAATGGGGAGTCAACCTGGCTGGATGATGTCTTGATTCCATACTTGAAAAACTTGAGAATCCCAGTGTCCAGTTTTGAGTTAGGAATTCATTCTTCGACTAGAGAATAGATGAGATGTTGCTAGACCAAATACCCTCTTTCTGAGGAAAGGTGACATATTCTATTATCAAGATTCCAATTGGGCCTCAAAGTTTTGAAGGTAGTTGGAAAGGAGCGTTCTTAGTTAAATCGTGTTATGTTTGCTGGTTTTTGTGTTCTTTATTGTGTTCTTTACCACTTTTCATCTTCTGGGCTTTTCTTGGAGTCTCTTGTGAACTTGTTGGCTTTTGTTGGTGCTTTAATGATATATATATATATATAATATCATTTTCATTAAAAAAAATAGGCCAAATACACTTGTGTAGCCAAAACTTTGACGTTTGTGACAATAATAGTCACATTTGGGGAAATACCAATAATAGCCAGAATTTTAAAAGTTTGATGACAATAATAGTAATTTCCGTTACATAATTTAACGGCGTCAATGACACCGTTAGTCAACTTAACGAAATACTTACTTGGCTGCCAACTCACCCTCTCTTTCATTTCCACCTCAGCATTTACTAACAGGTGGACGACACGTCATTACAAAAATAAAAATAAAAATAAATCGTCAAAATGTGTTATCTTTTTATTATTAATAATTATATAAATAAACACAAAAAAAGAAATGTTTCATCTTCTCCAATCTCTCTTATTCCCCTTCATCTTCTCCAATCCAACTCCCTGCCCCAATTTTTCGATAATCAAATCCAGTATCTCCTCTCTCTCTCTCTCTCTCTTAATCCCCTTCTTAATATTCTCCGATCCAACTCCCTGTCCCCTAGTTTTTCGAGAATCAAATCCAGTATCTCCCCTGATCTCTTATGCCTGGTCCGATTTTCCACCTTCGATCTCGATCTGTGAATAATGAAAACAAAGTAAAAAAAAAACAAATAAAGCAAAAACTAAAAACAAGCATATGTGCTGGTCATCGAGATGCTTCAGCTTCCTCATCCGCCACCGCTGCAAAGATTGCTTCGACTATATTGTCTTCCTCTCCCCCTCGTCCATCACCAACCGCCAGCGAAAAATCCCTCCGCCAAAAAATCCAACTAAAAAACTAGAAACAATCGCAATTACGGATCTAGAAATGGCGAACAGAACCCAGAACTCTCGTCTTCCTCTTCCAACGCTTCGGACAGTGAAGACTAGATCTGGCCGCGTGATAGAGCAAAAGCGTATATGCCTTAATCCTATCTCGTAGTAATCCGGAAAGTCCGGGTATCGTCTCTCAGGGACTGGTACAACCTAATGATTTATTGATTCTATAGAGCAAACTACAGGTGAAAATGGTTTACTTGAGACTAATTATCTAAAAGCAAAATAAACTAAACAAATTAAGCAAGTGAAAACTGTCGGGTTTAATTCAATGGGAGAAAGCTCTGGGAGAAACACCGGGATTCACTACCTATCCTATCCAGATTAATTCACATATTCCAATCAATTTAATCCAACTCTCTACAGCCAGGATATCACGAATGTGCTAGCTATCCCTGTCGGGAATTACTACGTACTAAACAATCAATTCAAATCCTACTGTCGTAGCTCAATGAATTAACTATATAGTCTGAAGATCGATATCCTATTTAAGACCGCATAGCACCTTATTTAATCCACTGTCGCTTCGATAAGTTACTATGTCACATGAAATAGGTTCAGTTATTAGGGTTTCACTGTCGCTAATAACCTAATTAACAACAAATCAATGTATTGGTGGCCAGTCAACACAAAGCATTAAGAAATTTCATGCAATAGAGATTGGAAGAAAAGAATCATGAATCAATCCATCAAATCAAGAACTAGCTACATCCTATGGTGTTTCCCCCAGAAATTGGGGTTTAGTTCATGACGAAATTAAGATAAATCGATAGGGTTTTATTCATCATGTTCTAAATCAACAAGAAACAACTAATTTGGTTTAGGAAATCAAACCAACTAATCGCTCTCGTTGAACTCAGCTCTAGCCTTGAAAAAACTCAATCGCCGATGGAAATCGACTGATTGCCTGCTGCGCCGCTTCCTTTCTTTCTCCACAAGAAATTCGCCCCCTCACCAAAAAAAACCAAAAAACCAAAAAAACAAAAAGTGCCCCAGCAAATTAAGTTCCGCCCATTTATTTGCCCAGAGAATTCCGCCCACCAGAGAATAATTTTTCCTTTTCCTTCCTCGCCAAAGAAATCCGCCAGCCCTCTGCCTTCATTGGCCCAGCCAAGCCGGCCCACATGGCCTCCCTTCAAATAAAACCCGCCGCTTCCTTGATTCCGTCCGCTGCTGTGTCCGCCCAAAAGAAATCCGGCCCAATTTAATTGCCCCATCCAGCTGGGCCTTGAGCCCAGCTTCGAGAATGGTTTGTGCACTCGCTCCTCTTTCGTGCTTTCTCCACCTGCAATATATCAAACTCATGGCACTAGGCAGTAATGGTTTTTTTCAACCATTCTCGGGTTAGGGAGCTCTAAAATAGCACCAATTGGCTAAAACATATCATGAATAATCACATAAAGTCCAAGAATCCGATATATTAAAGCCGAATATCACAACCCCACACTCAATTGTTGCTTGTCCCTAAGCAACGACTCAAATGACACAAACACATAACCAACCATAACAATGACACACCACAGACTCACTAATCAAACACTCAAACAAAACAAAATTTTCCTTGTACTCTTGTTGTAATCAGTAGTTTCTTTCTCAACGGACAAGTTGTGCTCTAATGGTCATACCTTTCACCCCACACTCAAGTTCTTTGCAACCATTATCATTGACTGACTCAAATCCATCAAAAACTCAAATAGCAACACTCAATTTCGATCATCGGTAGTGGGTGGTTAACAACTTATGGATCAACAGTTATTAGGAGAATCTAACCACATCAGTGAGGTGCATATCTCGTGAGGACAATCTGGCTTACTCACACCAATCATAAGCAATTAATTAAGCATGAGTCTAAAAAACTAATGGGGGAAGCCTTTCGCAAACATGATTTTAACTTTAAGCTCATCACTACCTTTTATGACAAGGAGAGGCTTTCTCTCTTTCTGCTTTTGCTTGCCGAGAGGTCGTATTTAGTACAAGTGGGATTTGTTTCTTACTACCGGTGACCGAGCAAGAGCAATTTCTGCTTCTTAGCACTCGCATAAGGGCTTCTTTTAACTCCTTTTCCTCGGTCCGTGTGGAGGGTCATTGCATCCTCTAATGGCACTTCACTCAACTGGGAATCGTACTTGATAAGAAACATCGTACGGTCGCGAACCGATTCTCAATTGAATCTTTCCTCATCCCCATGTGCAATGAGTGATTGCCTCACACGATTTTGGAATTTTTACCCACACTTTAATTGTTATGGCAACTTTCTTATATTTTACTTGTCAGGTAGTGTTTTCTTTTATAAAGATACAGTTCACCCCATCATAAAACATTCAAAACAGAGAGACTCATTCCCAAATCAAAAGCTCACAATTGATGCAAGTAAGCACGGTATCTACACATATCGAATGGTCAATGTTCTCCACCTAACCACTTCACCAAAAGTCATTACACTATCCTCACAAAAGAGAATGTTGCTAAAAGAGTTGCTCATTCAAAGCATATCAAGTCAGTCAAAACATTCAAGCTCATTTCAACACTAGTGGGGTGATTTTGATGATTTCATTCAAGCACAAACTCATACCACACGCATCACAATCATTTACATCATGTTACCACAAGAGTACAAGGTTTTGTTTTTATTTTTTCTGATTTTTAGGTGTTTTTTAGCCATTAGATTAACACAGGCAGCCTGCTTTTTACACAGGCAAACTGCATGCAGCTTGCCTGTGCTCAACCTAATGGCAGTTTTTTTTTTTTAACACAAAACGAGACACTGTGGACAACTACGACTCGACATAAAACACGACAAGAACACAGACCATCCACCCCACACTCAGGATGGACATTGTCCACAATGTCTACAACTACACACGACACACCAATCGGTTCACCTAACTAACATTATACAGACCATCATCAGAAGTATTCACAAAGAAAAGAAGAAAAGAAGGAAAAGAAAAGAAAAAGAACCTCGGGACAAGCTCCTATGGAGGAGGGGTCGATGCAGAAGTGCCGAGCTTCTCATCTAGACGCCGGTGTAGCTCCTGGATCTTCTTATCTTTCTCTGCGTCTCTGGCTTCCAAGAGAGCTATTCTGGCTCCGAGCTCGTCTCTAGATGATGGTGAAGCTGGTACGACTGGTGGAGTATCTTCTGGATGCGGAACTGGAGTAGGATGGGACTGCTGGCCCTGGCTGACACTCGAGTCCGAGTGCCTCGCTGCTGTCGGTGTAGGAGCTGGAGCTGTGGTCGGAGTGGCCACTGATGGTGCGGCAGATGATGGCGAAGCAGAAGTTGCTCTAGCAGCCCTTGCTTCCCTTTTCCGATTGACCTTGGTCTCCCACTCCTTGTATTTTGCGATAGATAGATACTCTCCACGAGATCCTACTTTCCTCAGAAACCCCAATTTGCCTAATGTTGCTTCCCCAAGTAGAGTCGAGCCATCACTGATCTCTAAACCCGTAGGGTTCTCCGGGAACCCCCAGTAAGCTCGAGCTAAGGCAGTAATGATTCCCCCACACATAATTGCTCCGCAAGTCTTCAGTGCATCATTTTCCAGCATCTTATCCACCATGTACCCAACACACAATGGTGTTCCAGTAACAAAACTGTGAATGTACCTGAGATCGGTGGTGTAGACACCACTGGCATTGGATCCCTTTCCCAAGACAGTGCGAGCCAGGTAGTCATGTACTAGTGGGATTATCGGGTCTCTGATCGATGCTCTCCTCGAAGTAGTAGGATTGAAGTCCTTTCCATCTGCCACAATTGTCGTCCAAAACTCACTCAAGTCCTGCTTTTCATCAGGAATTGCATCTGCTGGACCATCGAAGAGAAGTGCTCGGTTTACTTGGCTCAAAGAGAGGGACTTTGTTTTCCCGGCCAAAGTACTCTGAAGCTTGCTCTCAACCCCATTATCCTCGAAGCTGTAGGTGGCCAAGAATGCTCTGGTGAGGTGTGGATAGGTGGGGAAGTGCAGCTCCGGAAATCGTGCCCAATTCATTCGGCGGAAGTATGTCATCACTTCCTCAGCCCGCTCGGTCTTCTGCAATGCTGCATAGTCCATGAACTGAGAAGGGGTGACCGCTCGTTTCATCAGATCGGCATATTCTTCCTTATGTTTCTGGAGCTGGACAGGCTGACCGAACGTCTTAGAGACGTCCTTTGGAGGAGGAGTGCCAGCCTTCTTCTTGCTTGCACTTAGGCTAGTACGACGTGGTGTCGTGGATGGTGCAGGTGCTGAAGAAGAAGACATCTGTGATCGTGAAGATGAGCTCGATTGCTGGAGACGACTCCTCTTTGCTGGCCTGCTCTCCGGTGATACAACTGGTGTTGAATCTGGTAATGGAGGTTCTTCAGTAGGCATTTGAGCAGGCTGCTGTGGTGGAGATGGAGTTGGAGAAGTCATCTCAATAGTCCGGGACCGCATCGTGGGTCCAACCTGGCCGGTGATCACCCTGTGAAATCGAGCGGGCATGTTGAC